GACAAACCATAGTAACAGGGAGTCCTCCGGGACTCCACTGTACTTGGAGATGTCGACTTTCATGACTTCGGGACGACGCGCATGCGCCGTCCCGCCCACAGCAGCATGGAATTGCTGCTGTCTCAACAGCTCCATCTGTTGAGCACCGAGTTCTCTCAACTGCTCGGCCTGTTGAGAGCCTTGCTGGTGAAGCAAGGCTACTTTCTCCCTCTCGAGAGCAAGTTCATTCTGAATGAACTTGGCGATAGCGGCATGTTGTTGGTCTCTGTCTAGAGACTCCAACATGGTGCTGACGACGAGTTCGCCTACGGTAGAACTCATTCGTTCTACCGCACCCCATTCGATGTCACTCAAATGGGTAAACCCTTCACGCGTGGCGTGAAAGGTGTCTTCTTCATCCAACATGTTCATGTTGGATGATGTGGTCCTTGGAAGGACTACAAAGTGCTACCAGGTGTAACGGGGCACACCCTTGCGTAACTTAACGCAAGGGTTTTGAGTGCCCCGACAGACGTACACGTGGCAAGCGAGGAAGCGTAGGTAGGGTAAAAGTAGAACTGTTATATTAATAAATTAAGTCTTTAAACTACTGTCTCTTCGTTTGACTTAATTCAATTATACTAATATAACTGCATGTATGGTGACGTCTCGTCACCACTCATTGCGCGCGTCTTGCGGCGATTGGTGGGTTGATATCATCACGATATCAACCAATGAACAGACCCTTTGGTCGACCCTTTAATATCACCACTTTGGTGATATTGTTTTAAAGAATATCCATCTTTATATTCTTTATTGTCACTTTCCTTAAAGTGACAATTTCATGTAACGGGCTGCCCCGTTACAGTGATAAATTGCATCGGGATCCTGCAATTCTTTGGTGTCCAACGAATTTGCCAGCTCCGATGACGTACACCGTATACCAATTAGTTATGATATACAAGGGAAGGCAGCCAAACCCTTGAGCTGTGCAAATTAGTTGCTTACTCCAAAAATAAGCTGAAGATTTGCCAGTTGATCACATAGGTCCCGGAGGGGCCTATAGTTCTTGACCAGTGTTGGGAGCATAAAGTAAGTGATCTGCTCTTCAAATATAAACGTGATTGGTAATAAGCGACGATAGAGTTGAGTCTCTCCCGACTACCCTGAAACAATGACAGGTAAGATGAGGTTCCTCATGAATTGCAGCTTTAGCGTCTCTAACAACAGCTGAACAAAAAATGGGTGTGCTATTGGGCAGCCCTGACTACTACTATATCCTACCAATATTTTTTTTGGAATGGCCTGGCTGATGACAAACGTGGGTGTCGTGTATAAGCCGGATAAAGTAGGTGACGCCCACCTCAATATAAAACGACGTATAGTTATATTCTTGCAATCTCGATCCACGGTGTCGTATGTCTTCAAGAAGCCAACCGGGAAGTACACCAAATGTGGGTCGCTGCTAAGTCACATTACTAATTCTCTGTCATTTGCTATGCTGTCGTCATCATCGTCGCCGTCATGATCATGTCTTGCCTTGGAACAAATCCCGATTGAGAGTCACTTATGACCCGATGCAATGAAACATGTACTTGCGACAGCATCATCTTTGCAAAGACCTGAAACTAATCCATGAAATCTTTTGAGACGACTGTTTGGGAAGTATGATTTGAATATCTGCCAGAAAACTAGGGTATGTACGCTCTGCCAAGGACCTGAATGCTGATGTCACTAGCGTTATGAACATGATCGCGTATATTTACTTGTATACGCCGTTGTTCAGAACATCCTGCATGGTCGCATTGTGTGTACTAAGGTCTTAATCACCTAGCATCACTCCATTTTCCGCGATTCAGTTGTTGGGGTCGGTCGTTGTCGGTACGAGCCACTTGCCCGCCTAAATTGCTTCAACAATGTGTATCGTTAGCAAAAGTAACTAACTTGTACTTTATCTGCCGACGGGTGACAGGTGACGAGTGACAGATATCGGCTCCTACTTGTACGCAAACTTATCCTCAATTGATATATGAGTGATGGTAGATTTCTCATGTCATTACCACAAGCTTGTGACTTTCTTTATGCAATCTCTTGTGGCCACGCTTTGCACGACCATGTAGATGCCCTGTCGATTTACACGATTGATCTCTGAACCGAGTTATGTAGGCCTCCTCAATTTATTTAAGCTGGTATAATCCACATCTTACGAATGAAAGAACGTCGTATGATCAAAGTCCGGTCCTCACCCGCTAAAAGCTGCTGCTTTATCGTTTTGTTTGATGGTATGCATCTTGTGCATCGCGCGGTGCGCGCATACCACTCCCTAGCAGACGGTTAGTAGTCCATAATCGTTTTATCCTTTCCTCCTTTTAACACGTAAGAAATCAATACATATTATGTGTCTGGATGGGGAATGCTACATATATCTCTAGTGCTGGACTTGTCGTCGGACTGGCAGACCACAGCCTTTATCCGGTCTAGTTGTAGGTTTTGCACGATGTACAGATACCCAATTGATACAGCAGTACGCGAAAGCATGTTCAAATTATAACGCTGTCAAATATTGTCGCTCGCTATACTGGTCGTTTCGTGGATACATGCTGACAATAGATATGTCGGACACAATCAATCGGATAGCTCTCGTAAGCCATCAATTCTCATTATTGTGATCTCATGAAGCACAGCGCCTGTATTGTAAGCGGAATAGCAACTGCACGATACCTGGATGACTCGGAGATCCATAAGGACTAGTCTCTTGTACCGTGTCAAACTACTCACTGCATAACCTACTCTGTAACAAGGCAACGTACGCTTGTACTGACACAGCTCAATGTACCTTTTCCGATTAAGGCAGAAGCAGGTGTCTCGCAACCTCACGTACACTGTCCTAGGATAGAAAGGCTATTCTTTCATATGGACACGTAAAAAAGAAGAAGGAAAATCAAAAATGAATGTAATGTAAAGCTTACAATCCTGCCATTGTCCCATTTCTTACCACTCTTTCTACATTGGAATACAAAACGCATTTAGCTACTCGCTGATCGTCCGTGCGCGTTTCTACTATGAATTGGTGATTTGTTTTGGCTAAGAACTTGGCCCTTACCAACCGTAAGTGAGCGGAGCTGAACAATCTCCTTCGACGGTAGTACCTTTTTAATATGTACTATTGTTGTGTAACAAACGGCTCTGTAGAATGTTTCAGGAAAAAGTTTACTTTTAGCTCAACCGGCTTGGTGTGGCAGCAGCATTAGAAAGGTCACCCGATTCGAGAACCGGTAGAAGTAAAGGATCAAATTACGCCGTCGGGTCCTGGTGGGATGGGGCTCGACCATACTTTCTTGCCAAGCAATCACGTCATCTATTTTATGTGCATTTACGTGTTCAGTATTACCACTTTAGTAGCATTATGTAAGAACGACTAGACGAACAGGAATGCGGGACGAGACGATTGCTAACGTAAAGCCAGAGAGGATCCAGCAGACTTAGAATAGCAACAAGATTTTGTGAACAAGGGGTTTAATTTAATTCACTTTGCATTTAAAAACAAGTGGACCAACTGACTTCACTTTCCTTATTGAGGTAAATATTGATGAATATTGTGAAGCAGGATAACACATACGTCCACATTATTTGGTGTCAATGCCATGTAAACGGGCCAACCCGTTACAGTCCGTATCCATTCCATTCGTATTCCATCAGCTACCTCGACGGTCGTAACTGATCTTCCCGGATGAAAACGGAAGAGGATGAAGCCTTAACAGAGTCATGCGCCAGGATGAAAGCCAGAGATTTCTTGTAATTTTCAAGAAGCCCCGATCATTCTGGCTGAGAAGTCGCCGATTTGCGGAGAGAGGGTTGGGATATCATTGACAGGCTATGTCCATTTTGTAGCGCGTGGCATCCATATGCATCGAAAATCGATGATATCTGCGACTGATGCAGGCGCAAGCCCAAGTATAGCCCTGAAGTACTCTTCACCTTGTATGATTTTTTTCCTCTGAGTGAGCCAGCCCAGAGAAGAAAAATCTCCCAATCGTACTATAATTTGCCTGTTTCGAAGGGTCGTAGCGCAATCCGGTACAGAGTGGCATGATACGCCGCCTTGTACTTGTTATTTGGATATAAGTAGTCAAATGTACGAGCGCAGTAATAGTCGACAGCTTTCAGCTCGTTGATTTGCCGTCGACAAGAGTATCGATTTCACGGTCGTAAAGAGGCGCACAAAGCAAGCGCTGCCATCACAAAGACGTAACACCCCGTTCCTCACGAAGTTCTTTTGTCGTAGTCATCCCCACTGTCCACTAGCGGCGCAAACGTAGTCGTGAACCTGCGATACTGCATGCAAGCGAGGTAAACATCGATTCATGCTAAGGTCGGGCGGTCTACAGTACTGCAGGTAAGCATTACATCTAACTACGCACAGACGCAGGATCGGTAATTCGAGCCATGGCTAAGATAGCTTGTAAACTGTTACATTCAGCTCCACCTGCAGGACAGTAAGTAATCGTCGAGATCGAGCGCTCTTGCACAAAGCATCGCAAACGCGCAGATGATGATGACGGATGACATATCGATGACAGGCACAAAGTTGGAAGCATCGATGCAAGCTCGGAATGGTGACTTGACTCGACGAGCGACAACGATGTAACGCTGCGAAAATAGTGGCCGACCGCAGCATATCTTTGGCATGTTCGTCCACAAACTTTATTGACGTCAGACTATTCGCCTATGTCGTCATTATTAGCACATAGAAATGCTGCGCAGAAGGTATATGGGCATTTGCAGTGTGTGCTATTGCCTTCCGTTCTTGTACTTACACGTTCGAGAGCACAATGCAAAAGCGCTACTATAGCCGCGCTTCCGACCCATCAGTGCGCACAATTTCCACCCACTGACAACGTCGGCCAAAAGTGTCACGATCAGTCGATTTCTCGGTGCCGATCTTGCGTAGCTGTGTAAATAGCTTATTACCCATAACACAATCTCCGTACAAGCTCATTTTCCATTCCTCATTGCGGGTTCTATCGTTTCCTACCTTTGCTCTTTCGTCTTGTCGACGAAGTTACCGCACTTTTCTCGCTAGCTACCGTCCTGGATTCGATCTCAACCGTACCTCCCTGTTGCACATACAACAACGTGTCAAGCTTATTGCACTTGCAGCACCAATGCAGAAAGCAAAGACGTACCACAATATCATCTCGGTGTGCACTCTGCTCGACCTTGTTCTGCGTGTCGAGGTAGAACATGAGATCGCGGACCTGGCCCTCCAAGTCACCAATCCGCAACGTTGTCTCCTGCTCAGCTCGTGTGTTGTGCTCCTCTAGCAGACGTACACGCTCCTTCCACTGCTTCTGGTTCTCAATCAGTGACTTGTTCAGCTCCCTGGTATGCAACAGCATGCAGCCATTCACCGTCAAGCACAAATCAAGCGCGAAACAACGGTCCTGTACTTCTTCACGCACCTTACAAACGCCAACTCCTCCTCGAGCTTTTTGGTCTTTTCAGCTAGCGTCGTATTCGCTTTCTTGAGCTGCTTGCGTTCGTGCTCGTGTGCAGTCAGCAGCTGCCGGCTCTCGCCTTCCTCACCTCGTGCAAGCAGTCGTTCGTAATAGAGACGCTGCTCCTCCAATTGACTAGTGCGCGCGACGTGCAGCGAAAAGATCAGACCAGCTGCAAGGCCCAACAAAAAGCCAACAAGTACTGCTTACCTCTTGAGAAGAAAGTTGTACTCGACTGCAAGTTTTTCGAGCTTCCGATGTTCGCCTTCTTCTTCCTCTGCAGATGTAGTCGGAGGATGCTGCGATCGCTCGCTGCTTCGATTGTTTGGACTTGGGAACTCTACAAACTTGCCGTCCTGCTTGTTCAAGATCAGTCGATGAACGTATCCGTCACCGGCGTAGTCCCATACGCGCTGAGTCTCCAACTCTAACGAGTACGTATGCAGCGTGTCCTGATAGTGCTCTTTGGCGTGCTCACCCGAGTAGCGTCCACAGCCAACATGGCCGCAGATCAGACAGATCCAGAGGTGCTCCGCTGTGCCGCACACCTCACACGACGACCCAATGTCGCCATGGCTATATCGACAAACTGGACAGCTCGATCCTTCCCACCGGAAGAGGCAGTCACAGTGGAAAGAGTGGTTGCACAGCGTCGTCAGAATACCCGATGCCGAAGCATCGAGTCGATCTAGACAGACCGCACACGTCGGGATCTCGGTCATTCCAGCTGGGGGCAGCGGGAACAGCTTCCGCATCTGCGCTCTACTCGTTCTCGTCTCTGACCGCGAGCTCACGAATCCACTAGCAACAACCTTTTCTTCATCGACCTTTTTCTCTTCGAGTGCGTCCTCGCAAGTCAGTTGGTCTTCGCCAGCTACGACATCAAACTCGATGCTGCGCACAAACACAATCTTGCACCGTTCCTGCTCGATCGAGTTAAAGTACCTGCCCGTATGGTCCTGTGTGCCCCACAGGTGACAGAGACAGACAAAAAAGGTGACACAACACCAACGAAGACGAACAAGAACAAGAACAAGTAGAGGTTTGAGTAGTCAACAACCTGCAGCCAGTACCTCCCACGGGTCCTACCTCAGCATGCACTGCGTACCAGAAAGAACTGGTCCGCTCGCTCTTGTGTCTGGAACTGCACGAGTACCATACAATTGCTCCGTTCCGAGTCTTTGAGGATCCGCACAAGCGCAATGTCGTCTCGAAAACCCGACAGGAACTCGAGAATCTCCACGGGCGACATGTGCGACGGCACTGTCACAACGCACACTAATGCACTGCGTTCAAGCGGCAGTGGCAGCAAAGGCAGCAAAGTGCTACTCGCGTTACTTCGACTCGCGTTACTTTGACTTGCGCTGCTGTCGATGGTATTACACGGCGTACTACTACTACTACTACTACTACTACTACTGTTGTTGTTGTTGTTGTTGGCTGCAGACGACGACGTCGACGCGTACGTCTCGTCTGCGCGGTAGAACCGCAGTTTGCCCGTGACGACGCGCACCTGTGGGTTACCAGTGAGGAACGACGCGCTCTCGTGCACTGTGTGGACGGCGTCGTCGGCGGCCTCGACGCGGATCTGGAACATGTTTGAGGCCGACGGAATTAATTGTCACGGCGAGAGAGTGGCCACAGGTGGCGGGGAACAACATATTGTCAATAAACGGAATAGACGGTAGGGGAAGTACGAAATGGTATGGAATTAATTGCAACGGGTCAACGGCTCGGTCGGTGGGCTTATTCGTACTTTATCACAACGCCGTCGCTCGCTGACCTGTTGTTAATGACCTCGTGTTCGTAAAGCCAGGCGACAGAAAAAAAGCAATCGCGTCGCGGGCGGCCGAGGGGACAAAAAAGAACCAGTCGGTTGCCACTTTGCCGTCATCGCCGACGCACCGCACATTTGTGTTTGCTTTTTCTTCGTTCCGCTTCTCGAATCGGCTTTGTCTGTTTTCTGTCTCTCTCGAACTCACTTTTGAGCGTAAGAAGCAGTGAGAGAGAGACACTCACACACACACCCACTCACACACACTCACACTCACACACACTCACACTCACACACACACTCACTCACACACTCACTCACACACTCACACACACACTCCCACACATTTGCATTTTATATACAAAAACGTCCCACAGCGAGAAAAGCAAACGACGCCACCGCAGCAACAAAAGCGACTGCGCGAAGAACCAGTCGCGCCATGTTCACGCAATCGTACGTCCCGCCGTCCTCTCGTTCCCCTCTGGTCGATCGTTGCTGCCGCAATGAGTGGGCGTGAAACAGCGTGCGACTGATCATGTGTATACCTCCGTCTAACGGTCTGTCGGTCTGTCTTTTATCTCTCAGGTATACAGACTCGAGCGTCCCCAGCGGTCCGGACGTGAACCCCATCAAACCGTACGCGGGTCGTCTTTCTTGTGTGTGTGTGTGTGTGTGTGTGTGTTTTGTTTGCATCGCAACTCGAGATGTTGTCGACGTGTATCGATGTGTATACCTGGACATGTATACACAAGCTACCTGGCTACGGCTCGGTTCGTCCCGTTGTCCATCGTACTGACTCGTTGTGTGGGGGGGGGGGCTTCACTAGCGACCAAAAGACGGCTGGGGCAAGCGCGACATGCCAAGACTGGCCATTTGCGCTGCTTTTCGTGCTGAATGTCGGTGCGATTCTCGCGCTGATGGTCGTGTGGGGCCTCCAGACAGTGACGGACCCCGAAACCCACTCGAGTGAGCTGCTGCCGGGCAATGACACGGCAGTCGTGCTGACGATTGCCACCGTTATGGCTGTCGTGTCGATGGTCCTGGCCCTTGTCATGGTCAAGCTCATCGTGGCCTACGCTCGGGTCATGATTCTGTTTGTGCTGTGGTTCAACGTGGGCATCTCGTTTGCCTTTGCAGTGTATGGCGTGCTGCTTGGCAACATCTTCATTGCAGTCGTTGGCTTTCTGATTGCACTGCTGAATCTCTGCTACGCGCGTGCGGTGCAGCACCGTATTCCGTTTGCAGTCGCCAACTTGCGCGTGGCTGAAGGAGCGATTGCCGCACACTCGTCCACGTACATTGTGTCGATCGTGTTTACGATCGTGCAGATTGCGTGGGTGATCATTTGGGCCATGGCTTTGCTGGGTGTTGCCAACAAGATTTCGAAAGCAAACCCGAGCTCGACGACCGCTACGACGACGACATCTACTCGATCCGCGTATCGCCAGTCAGGCGCGTCCTACGTCGCATTCTTCTTCTTGCTCCTGTCGTTCTACTGGGGCCTTCAGGTGTTCAAGAACGTGGCACACACGACGGTTGCGGGTACCGTCGCGACGTTCTGGTACAACACCGAGTCGTCAGGTGCAACAGGCGCCTCGCTGAAGCGCAGCTCGACGTCGTCGTTTGGTTCCATTTGCTTTGGCTCACTCATCGTCGCCTTTTTGCAGGCGCTTCGCTCGGTACGTTGCGACTATCGTGCAGCATGTTGCCACTCGACTCTGTTCGTGCACTCACTCGGTGACTTGTGTGCTGATCGCAGTTGGCAGAGAGCAGTCGTCAAAACGGCAGCGCACTGGCATGCTTTGCAGAGTGTATCTTGGGCTGTCTGCAGTCGCTCATGGAGTACTTTAACCGCTGGGCGTATGTGTACGTCGGCATCTACGGCTACAACTTCACGAAGGCAGGCAAGGCCGTGTTTGAGCTCTTCAAGCAGCGTGGCTTCGATGCCATCATCAACGACGACCTGATCGGCAATGTGCTCGGTTTTGCCGCGCTTGGCATCGGTACGGTTTGCGCACATGAGTTTCCCTGCATTGCAAAGGTCGTGCGTGTGACTCACCTCTTGTGCGCTATCTCTCGCAGGTCTCATTTGCGCTGCTGCTGGCGCAGTGATCGCCGAGACGACGGACGCCATTACGTTCCACAGCAGCACTGCATTCCTGGCGGTCCTGGGTCTCATTGTCGGCACTGGCGTTGCTGTCACGCCCCTGGCCGTTATTGACAGTTCGGTCGCCACGGTCTTTGTCTGCTTTGCCGAAGACCCGGCTGCGTTCCAGCGGTCGCATCCCGAGTTGTACGCGCCGCTCGTGCAGGAGTGGCACAATCTGTATCCAGACATTATGGTTCAGGCCGGATACGCGTGCGCATAGTGTGTTTCCAGGTCCGACGTTGCGACTTGTCACTTGCCGTTGCCCATGGCGCTACCGTCAATTGGATGTACTCAGACAGCTCTTCGATACTAATGTACCCACGTTGCCGTGTGAAGTGGTCCATCTCTCTGGTCGCGTTTCTGGGCGGCCGTTTCTTCGCTCAGAGCAGTCGGTCTCCTGGTCGTCAGACGTCTGTCTCTTGGGCACTTGTGATTCGCCCGTCTGCCTGACGCTTGGGCTCGACGTCCCACTCTTGTCCCATCGTAGCGTCGCACTGCATTGTGAAAGTCGCAACGTGGTCTCTCATCAGTCCTTTGCTGTCAGTCGGTCAGTCGGTCAGTCGATCACTCGATCAGTCAGTCGGTGCGAACACGACCTGAAGCTGCTTCGATGACGCTATCGGTGCTGCTGAATGCCGTCTCGGACGGTCTCATTGCTCGACCCATTGCGAACGTCGCGGCATACGACACAGCGAGTCGAGTCGCCAATGCGACCGATGCACATGCGAGGAATGGACTGATCCTGAGTCAAGAAACCGCTACTGCCACTGCAGCTGCCAGCGAATGGATCGTCGTGCTCCACTATGCTGCAATTGCTCTGCTCATTGTGCTGTCGGCCATCTCGTCGGGCCTTACGCTCGGCCTCATGTCGCTCGATAAGGTGAGTCTCGACGTGATCGTTCGCGCAGGCGATCGGCCCGAAGCGACGATCGAGGAACAAACGAAAGCTCAGGCAGCTCGACGGATCTTACCCGTGCGTGCAGACAGCAATTTGCTGCTCACGACGCTCGTGCTCACGACCGTTGCGGTGAATTCGCTGCTGTCGATCCTCATGGTCGACTTGACGAGTGGCGTCGTGGGCTTTTTCGCCTCGACGGCGCTCATCCTCGTGTTTGGGGAGATCCTGCCGCAGTCGATCTGTTCGAGGCACGCGCTGTCCATTGGCTCGACGTTTGTGCCTGTTGTGAAGGTGCTGCGGCTAGTGCTGTATCCACTTACAAAGCCCGTGAGCTACACGCTCGACCGTGTGGTTGGTGAAGACGTCGGCACGATGTTGACGAAACGAGAGCTGGAGAAACTCGTGGAGATTCACGTGAGGCAGCAGATTGTGCACCCCGAAGAAGGGTGCATTGTACGCGGTGCCATGAGCTACAAGACCAAGGTCGTGAGCGACATTATGATTCCCGCGGACAAGCTCTTTTCGCTTTCGATATCCTCTTCCACGTCTCTCTTTCTCTCTCTTGCTTGCTTGTTGCATAAAGTCTGTGGTGTCGTGACCTTCGTTTGGTTTGCTTAACTGCAGTAGGGTGCTATGCTATGCTATGGTGTGTTTGCTCTTTTGTTCAGCACACGGGTACGAGGCTTAGTCTCGAAATGCTCAAGGTGATTTACAACAGCGGCTACAGTCGCATTCCCGTGTGGAAGAAGGACCCGAACGACGTGGTGGGCATTGTCTTCACCAAGGACTTGATCTACGTGGATCCGAATGAAAACGTGCCACTCATAGCCTTTGCACGCGTCTTCGCGGTGGCGGCCCATCGCATTTGGCTCGATGCAGAGCTGGGTGAAGTGCTCAGTGTGTTCAAAATGGGCAGCACCCACATGGCACTCGTCTACGATGTCAATAATTGGGGACCGGTAAGCGTAGCAGCAGAGGCTACTGGATCTTGCAAGATGAAGTAGTAGATGTGCTACCTCTTGACGCACTTGTCTGTTTGCTAGGGTGATCCGTTCTACGAACTCAAGGGCTTCGTGACCCTCGAAGATATCGTGGAGGAGATCCTGCAGTCCAAGATCATGGACGAGACGGATTCGCCCAAGGCCAAGAAGGAGCGACAAAACTGCACGGACCAGATCGGGTATTCTGACAGGGGTGAGTTTGTGGCCCGTGCAGTGTGTGATTGATCATCCATCTAACACGAGCCTCCTTCACAACTCGCCCCGAAAACAACGACTACTGACTGACTCGTGATATCCCCATCTACTCCCGTCCAGAATGCTCGGACGAAGACGTACTACTACTTGCAGAAAGCAAGATGACGTTTGGTACAGCGCTTTGAAGCAGCTCACAGCAGTTACATAGAAGACAGAGTGGGCTGCGTGCGTCTAAAATGACCGAGCAGGACGCGCAGCTCGCTACCATGAGGAACAATAGTGGAGAATCGACTGATGTTGGACTGGGACGTCACAAACAATGCAACGGCTGTCCTCACTACGAAAAGTAGTCTCAATGCATGACAAGCCACCGCATCGACTTGGAAAATGAGCGTGGCTCGCAGCGACGACGAAACCTTTGGATACAGACAGAAACTTCTAGGAGCAGACAGAAACATTCCGGAATCGACAGAAACGTACAGGTGCAGAAGGAAACTTCCAGTAGCATACAACACCTTTTGTATCAGCAGACAGAAGCGTCCAATGCTTATTCGTGCTTTGTTTGAACAGCAAACTCTAGATCTTGTGTCTGATCGAGATGAATCGGGTCGTTCGCCTGCCTGAGCATACATCACCTTCTCACTCACTCACTCACTCACTGTGGCTGATCGCCGATGTACGAGGTCTTGTCCACATGTTCGATCACAACTGACGACGTGGACAATAGCACATCAATCTGTTTTCTAGCCATACAAAGAGCTTTCCAAGCATTTGCTCTCTATCCTAGACACGGCATACAAAATCCAGGATGATGATCCTGTCAGCTCTTTTTCGTCCATGCTCATAGTCAGATGGCCCGACAAAAGTGCGCGCGATGTGCGGACTCGACCGGTCGTGAATAACGGGTGGCATTAGAAACGACGTGCCTTTTGCGGACGACGCATGGGTCATATGGGCATACCGGTTTCTCGAACCGTTTCTATAGCAGCTGTTGGGCTGAGGGTTTTTCCAAATACCAGTATCTCCGCCAATCAGATTTTCCAATACCAGTGAGCATTTTACTAGATTCGTAGCTCTAATTTGCTAGTCTAAGGCTTCTCACGCGATTGCAGGCTCTCTCAAGATACCATTATTCTAAAGACAGACAATGATCTGTACGACAAGGATACATCCAAGCATACTGCTCTTTAAAAAAAGGGTGCTCGACAGGCCTCGCCATGTTTTCTGATGGATAGGTGCATGCGAGGAATGGCTGCTCATCCATATGATTGCGCCGTGGAGAGCCGACCCGACGCGTGATCACCTGCTGATGATCCAACAGACCATGCATTTACTCCCACTTCATGTCTAGGTGATTGCATCAAGAGATAAATCCTTTGTTCATAAAGATGGCTGCTCTGTTGGCAACAAACTTTTATTTTGCCCTTACGATGCACAGTCTCTGCCAATGTTCTTGACTTTGCAAGGACGACTATGAGCAACGCTTCCCAAGATTTTGTCATCCGTACACCCTGTACTCCTATTCAAAAACACGGGTAAACAATGCCAACATACGTTGAACAATGCTTCACCCTTTGCAACCTTACTTACAACCGATACCATCGTGAAGGTTATGCAGAGGTCTAGATATTGTAATCAAATTTGCAAATATGTTGCTATCTTAGATGCGTAGTAAGTCTGAGCATTTTGCATCGCAATTATCAAGGTGAATCTACAGTCATGTTTTGGTATAACGTCATTCAGTGAGATTTGCGGCCTGTAAATGTATATTTACTTAGATCTAGTTTTCGATATCGAAGACTTACGAAGGTTTCGCTAGCGACTAAGCAGGCAAACATTTATACAAATTAGCTCAATTGTCGAGTGAGTTGTGATAAGCCCCACTTTGGTAGCTGACATTCAACCAATCTGTGCTGTTTGATATATTATTCCTTTTGGTTTAGCCGCAAGAGCTACATACATACAAAGTCGGGAGCAAATATTTAGCTCATTGAGGTAAAGCCTCGCTGACTTGGAATTTTCGTGAAGATCTTAATAAAATGAACGCTGAGAGCCAATTCCTTCTACTGAAGTTAGGAATACAATTGCTCCACCTGACTCAGCCTACGACCGAAACATCTGTATGCGCCTGATGAGTGGATCGATAAATCCACACTAGGCAACGCTTACTTTTCATTTTCAGGAAAACAGCTCTGTACGTAAGGATTCGCGCTGATCAGAGTAGTGACAGGTCTTTGCGGTGACGAAGTGTATCGGCATAACTTCGATAAACTAAGAGAAGAGCCTCATCGAACCAGTCGCTGTTTACATCATCGTTTGGATGGATATGATTGACCAAAGATTGGCTAAGCGCACGCGGATGCGTTGATGCGGGCCACGAGAGTAAATCGTCATAAACATGTTGTTAAGGGCAAAAACTATTTTTTTCGTCTTTCGGTCTAAATGTCCAAGGACTTCACTGTGGTCATATATGGGTTCTTGTGAGCCAACAAAAGTGCCTACAACTTCCTCCCTGAACGTCGTCAAGTTTATAGTGGCTTGTTGATGTTGAACTCTTCAATGCGAATGCACGGACGATAAATTTATCGTCGAATAAATCCAATGACGGATAGAATGTCTTTTTAACCTGCAAACTTCGTATCATTTGCTACCCGGATATCATGGGACTACTGCAAATACAGAAGCGAGCTCCGACTCTAATTATTTACTGCTCGACATTAGTTGTATCTGGAACAGAGCTGCCGCGGCTCTTATGCAACAAAATTGCTTCAGTATCAAAGAACATATTGGTTCGTGAGAACTAAGGTTAACGACTTGGAGATTTTGCTAGTCCAGAATAGCTGCAAGCTCCGATTTGTAGGGTTGACATTTGCATTGCATATCAGTGGATGATTTAACAACGACAGAAACCTTGCTTACACTGTTTGATGTAGTTGTCGATACAACTTAGTATGGTAAACTAAAATAGACGCATCCATCAACTGCTAGCAATGTCTGTTTCTGACATGTACGTGCATTACAATCACTATTGTCAGGTCCTCCACCGATTCCTACTACGTCTACCGTAATCGTAATCACAATTTTGCACGGTTACAGTACGTCTTTAGAATACGGTCATTGCAATTTATTGTCGAGCCTACTAAACCAAGGCTATGTCAGCCGAAGTTCAACACCGTCACAGCACCACTCGACACACCCGCGAGATGCCTCGTCAATTTCCTTTTGCCTACATCATCCACACTTACATCGACTCGAAAAAGCCAGATGAACAAGGGCGTCTGTGTAGCAAACAGTATTATCGACGAAGACGATAACAAAAGTTTCAGCTTTTTGCATTCTGCCACTGTTCCGTATTCAGAAGGCCAAAGCTCCCAAGCACTTGTACTGTCAAACGAAAGCGAACCGTCTGTCGGGGCTTTAGCGCATGGGGCGGCAGATGGGCGTCATCATGTTCAATCGATGCCACAAACTGCCCTCGACCGGCTTTGGCGTCTGCTGGCGTCTCGATGGAACATGTATACGGCAGCACAGCGTCCTACCGCTTCGACACATTGCACACATCCCTGCAATCGCATAGCAAGCTCTTCGTTACACTAACGTCATCATATGTGCTGCTTTTGACGCTCCGTAGAAAAAGAGCACACTTTGCCTTTGCTGATGACAGTGCCGGATACCTACGCTGAGTACAGAGTTGATTCATGCTACGAAAGTACGCGTACTTAAGTGCAGAATCAAAGCGTGTACATACACTTGAACTGCGTGTATACAACGGGGTGTTCGGGCCTACATGCTGTAACGAAAGGCTGAAGATCAATCGTCCCATTTCTTGCTGTTTACTAACATGAACATCGACTAGCTGCTGACCACTTCTTGCGAGTGTCTAGAAGCGACTGGTGGTTTAGTTGGTCGATCTATAAGCCGTTACCAACCAATGCGTGGAGCAGTACGGAATTTTGCTTTTGGCGGTAATATTCCTACAATATTCACTCAGCCATGCAAATGTTGGGGACTATTATCCATCACGACAATATGCACATTGTTGTTTTTGCTTAGCAGCACTTATGTAACGGGATGAGCCCGTTAGATGTCCTTGACACCAAAAATGAGACAAAGACACAGGTGTACGGTATGGCGTATGCTGTCATGAGGTAAAAGCTAATGCGTACTTATAAACGCCCGAGGAAACCTGCTTGTAGCGGCTACCACGGGCGTAGCGAGTGCTGGTCGATCAACAAACTATGCGAATGGCGGTAGTCAGCTCGGCGAACCCTGCCTGGCTTATGCGTGTGAGACATTACATCGTAGGATGCAGTCGAGACTATGTGTCGAGACGGCCTTCGACCGTGGCGCGAATTCGGTGCGACCCACCGACTCTGAACACGATAGGTCACTTCTACACATTAATCTTGCACGACGAGACAACTTCTGAAGCTGCATTTGTGCTGCGCACGAGGCTGCCTGTCGCAGACATGGCGCTTGCTTCTTGACTCTGCTGTGGTCGTGATCGAGGCGAGGATGATAGAGCTCTTGGGACTCGTCGTCCACACAAAAGAGTGATCAATGTTATGGCACACGTCGCGTTTACGTTCGAGTGTCAGCGGTGCCAGTGTCGCAAAGAAATATCGATGCGCTTGTTTCGTTCTGTGAATGTGCAGAGAGATCGCTCGCTCTGATCCGCTCTGATCCGTCTCGCCGCGTTCTTGTGATGAGCACAGAGTCAGTGATTGACACGTCGCACGGATAACGCAGAGTAGAACCCCACTCGGTCTCTGGAATGTCAGGAGCTGACTGGTGAGACTAAGTAGTCCTTCTTCGTTCGTTCCGAGATCGTGGTAAGCCGCGCGCTCGATGGACTGTGTGACAAAGAGGTAGCATCAAGATACTCCACAAGTCACCTGTGCATTCTCGTGTACTCCATGCTGCTCACACTTTCTGGCTGGCTTCGAAACACGCCGAAGCGCTACATGTGCACCAGTAGCTTCGATGACGACCACTTTATCGGCCGCGAGCTCCAAGTCCGGTCACGACTCCTCGACGCCAACGAATCGATGCGGTGGTATACCACTCGTTAGCAACGCATATCACGACACTTTGTTGTTGTCTTGCGCGCTTTTGCTGCATTTCTACGCTGATCCGGCGGGACAATTTCTACACCGTCTCGTACGAACATATCGTGCGTCTTTGTCTTTTCCAGCAAAGCTTCCGATCGCGGACCCGGTGAGCCACGTATTGCCCCATTGCCCCATTGCCCCACCGAATTGAGAGCTGGAAAGCATAACTCACGGTGCGTTTTTCTTGAAGCGACAACAGCGCAACGCAGCGCACCCAGCGTCTCGAGGCGGAGCAGCCACATGTTCGGTACTTTTTTCTGTTGTGGATAACCTCAAGCGTTTGTCCAACGAATCGACAACTGGATCACTACCTGCACGAGCTACCGCTGCTACGATGGATAGAGCTACCAATGGTACAGTGCCGGCCACAATATTGTTCGATCGCCTCGAACGCAACGCTACAATGTCTCGCAATGGGGCACTCGACGTGATCGCGTGTCGTCAGGCTACAGCAAACGAAAGATGCGGAGAATCGCGCCGGTCCCTGTGATTATGGGATGAGCGGTAGTCTCCACGTGAAGGTCGTTGCTATGTCGGTCCTCAACCTGTTCATACCAGCAGAGGTCGTCCAGGACGAACACGTACCTACTGCTCCACGTTGAACCTGTAGCGAGTCATGGAGCTATGTATCCAGTGAGAGCGACGACATACAACAACACCACCACCAACGACAGCAACAAATGAAACGTGACACAGCTACTGCATTCCTTGTCCGCGTGAGCGTACCAACATACGAAAAGAGTCAGTCGCACCCACAGCTTTTGTCAACATGTGCGTGCACGGCCTTCAACGGACGCGGCTGTGTATACCGAATGCAGCGCGGACCCGTTTCTTGCAACAGCGTGAGATGCCGTGACTTGCCCGAGCTCGTCGTCGCTGCTTTCCGTTGACGCAACGTGACTTTCAGCACATAGTAGTCATGTCGTTGTTAGTCACGGACACTTCCTGCAGATATCGTGCCATTGTGGTGCCACGGCACTGTAACGCATGCCTAAGATCAGTGGGGCCGTGAGGCGATCGTGAAAGCGCGGGACAACCGCTCGCTCGCTCGCTCGCGCGCTCCTGCAAAGCGGTAGTATCCAGGCCATCCCAGTGTTACCCGTCTGCCACGTGCTCTGGAAGCAGGTGGTGCCGGCGCACGTCAGAGCTGAGGACAAGAGAGCGAAACCCATCCAGGCCCGAAGAACAAGACCTGCTTAGCGAGTCCTGTCCTGGCCTCTCTCTACGTGACTCTACCCTCGCGTTTGGCCCGACGACAAAGACAGGAGTGAAAAATCCACGAGGCCAAACCGGATGGTTGGCCGACCTACCGGCCGACCGCGATCGACACGTTCCCCAGCGGGGAAAACGCTTGGGAGAAAACGTCCCGATGTTGTTTGACGAGCACGTCGTCAACGAAATTGTTGTTGTTGCTGTGCCCGTCCACCTCTTCGCTTGCAACAACTGCAGCAGCAACTGCGGCAGAACAACAGCAGCAGCAACAGCAGCAGTAGGAGCAGCAGCAGTAGGAGCACGAGCGACTGGACAATCGCAGCAAAGCTCTTTGCTGTCTCGTTCCACAATGTCTTATCGCAAACATCCGGCACTGGGGCTTGTGGACGAGAGACACCACCTGGTTTGTCCCAGCTGGCTTTGAGACGACCAAACGCGCGTTTTTGCACGGATTTGTCAAGCACTTGACCAGCTGTCCATCTGTTCGGGCAGCGCATACTGCAAGCGAGTGAACCGGCGCGGACCAAAGACCCGTTTCGAGCGAGTAATGCGTCCAGTCTAGACTCGCGCACGTTCGGCGCAACCTGCTGGAAAGGCAGCGTCACCGTTTGCGCGCCACGAGCGACGAGACCCGATAAACCGCCGGCTGGAGGGTCAGCGACCGACCAGCAATGGAAAGAGACCTCCCAGTCTGCAATTTGCCCTCGACAGCCACTTTGACCTTCGCACGGCCACCTCACCTCACCCCTCCCCTCAGTTTCGTCTCGACCAGATCCCTCGACCTCTTCAATCATGCTGGGCAAGCGATGCGCATCGGAGATGGAGGCTAGCCTCACCGAGTACTACCGCCAAGAGTGTCTCCGGGCCCTATACGCCAAGCAACAACGACCACGCGATTGCGCCTGGGTCAGCAAGGACATGATGGCCAAGCCTCCTCGACGAGCACGCAAGCGCGTGTCTTTCGCCACGGTCCTGGAGATCATCGGCAGCGCCGACGCCAGTATCGACCGCAGCTCCATCGAAGTGTCGCCGATTTCAAGGCTTGAGATCATGGAGCTGCTGTCGCAGCGCACGTTTCCCGGTCAAGCGTACAACTGAAGCAGCTGAGCGTAGACCAGCCCAAGAGACGACGACAGCCGTCGTACACGAGGCAACCGTCGCCATTGACGCTGCAGCGCCACGTGCGTCCTCGATCGCTTCTACTCCATGTGCCGAGTGGACGGACTCCAGAGACCAGTGACACGACACTCTTCGACAACGGAGTCTCGTCCAGTCCCGCGCAACCGCGAGCGACCAGTGTGTGTGTAACCTAAAGAGTCGGGGCCGACCTGCCTCGCTATTTAATGTCCAATGTCAATCCGTCGACACTTCTTCTCTCTTTCCATTATCATCCTCTATCGCTGCTGGTGCATTGTTGTGAACACAACGTGTCAGTCTAACCGGATGTGCAGCACCAAACGTGCCCTTCCAACTGATCACACCGACGTCGTCAATGTTACTACCACGCAGGCCAGCGATCAAAAGTACCACTGCTATGCAAAATTCACAGCAATAGGCGACAGAGACAGCACAGGGAGCAAGTGACGTCCTCCATCTGCACCAACAAACAAACAAGAGATAGCGGGGAACAGATTGAGGGAAAAACGTACACACGTCGCGACAGCGCGCGTACGCACAATTGCGAAACAGAGACCTGGCCACACGTCGCGGCAGAGCTCGAGCACCTGCCACGCAGGCGCTCTTCCAGAGCACAGGATCGCTAAGTCCGTCACAAGCAGTCGCAAGCAGTCGCTGTCTCGAGCGTCGACGTCCCTCGCGTAACGCTATCCGTCGGTTCAAGATCGGGGGCTGGTTTTCCGCCAATCAACAGCTCGCGATGTCTGCCCGCCGCTGATTCGTCAAAAACACACTTTTTGTTCGTATTTCGCCAAGTCGTTGCTCTGCGGCGGCCATGACGGAGCCCCTGCGCGGCGTCTGCAGCTCACCGCAGTCGTCAGTCGATGGCGAAGCGGACACCGCTAGTGCGTCGCGCTTCAGCTTCTCTCCGTCAAGTACCGCTGCGCAGAGCACGCGTCGCTCGACGGCCGCGGAGCCGCGATCGACCGCGTTGAAGACGATCGTACCTAGCAGGAAAAAACGCAACAGGACCGCGGCGAGTCCGAAACGTACCCACGAGTTGGTACACGCCGCACCGCGCGACTTTGTCGCGTACTTAGCCGAGCACTTGAGGGCAGAGCCGCAGCTTAAGTACGCGAGCGGGACGACACAGGACGCGATCGTAGAGCTGCCGACGGTGAAGCAGTGGCCGAGTAAACACCAGCGCGACGCGTTTGTGCGCTGGGTCCGCTCGCTCGGCTTTGGACCGAGTGGTGCGCTGGGACGCAACGTACTTTGTGCTGCTGGGGCAAAGGCTGACGAGGTGCGGCGTGCACTGACGCTGGACGAGGCTGGTCCACCTGCGTACGTGGTCGAAAAATGAGCGTGGGGGACCAAACAACTGGGTACAGAGGTTGGATCAGTGTCGTGGAGGTGCTGACTGCTAATTATTTGTTTGCTGTGTTGTGTGGTCGTGATTTTGGCTATGCTTATGGTTATGTTTGGTATCATTTGTGATGTTTTCTTTGCTTCCTGTCCTCGTCTTGGTTGTCATTTGGTTACAGACGCCGTGTCCGTCGAACTACCAACAGGAGCCGCGAAGCTGTTGTTGCGAGTGACGGTTGTTTACTTGGTCATGGTGACGAACATCATGCTGGAGACGGGAGAAGCCAGAGAGAAGAGTACGGATCGGATGCCCCAATGGTCCGGTTGAAACAGTACTTTGAGAAGCTAGAAGCTCAGACGCTCGAAGTTGTGTCGTTTTCCGAGCATCACCGACTGCTGTCGTCGTGGCAGCACAAAGCAATCGCCGATGCAATGGAAGATGTGCTGGCACAACCATCGAAGCGTCGAGACCGTCGACTCGCGCGTCGACGATCCATGCTCGAGAGGACACCAGCTCGACGGCTATCTTCTATAGCTCTTACATCGCCGTGTCGTCTTCTTCCACCGGTGGATGACGACTGGATGTGGGATCGAGAAAAGCTCGATAGGAGGATGTCGTTGACTCCAGTCAAGCGACGTATCGCGCAAAGCGACAAGCGACCAACTGAAACAGAGAACGTGCAAGGAGAACGTGTGTTGTGTCTCGTTCTCCACTCTGGCGTGATCGATGTCAAGTCGTTCAGGGACGTGCTTCGGCAAGTCTCGATCATGTACGTTGTGAAGCAGCGTACGTGCTTGATGACATCTCTAAGTCCGCTCGCATGTGTTGTTGCTACCAGGGCATACGCTTGGGTTATCGCAGATTACTCTAAGTACGTGAAAGCGATCAGGTGTAGACCATCCCATTTGCTTTGTGTTGAGCTCTGACGATCTGGATGTTCGACATTACAGGAAAGTGAATCATTGCTCAATGACCGATGTATACAGACGTCATCCACGCGGCCATTACCACGCAAGTGGGGCTTACAAAGAAGTGTACAAGGTGTACTCGTCGGAGCAAAACCGCCTTGAGGCCATTAGCGTGATGAATGTTAGCGCACTGGAAGAAATTGGCAACCAGGTAAACGCGCGTGCAGTACGTGGCGGGAAGCAAGATGTTGGTGTGCACTCACGATTGTTTTGGTGACTGTTGCTTGTAGAGTGTCATTCGCCAAGAGGTGGCCCACTCAGTGTTGCTGTCACACGCAACCGAGGACGGTATTTGCCCGAACTTTCTTCGAGTATACGATGTATTCCTTGCACACGATCAACCTCGATCTGACTTATGGGGAAGCAAAACGCACCGCAAGCCGGTTGAGTTGCTAGCGAGCGCGGATGCCAATCCCAGTGCGGATGCTTGCGAGGAAGACTTGGCGGTGTGTCCAAGTGACAACAGCGAGCGGTTGTTCCAGTACATCCGGATGGAATTTTGCGACGGTGGCGATCTGGAGAACTTCATTGCGCTGCAGAAAGATAAGATCCTGCCTGTGGCATGTGTGGCTGTGCCATTTTTCTTCCAGATGGTTTACAGTCTTTACTGTGCCCGAGAGAGATTTAACCTGCGGCATTGTGATATCAAGGTTTGTCACGTCTACTGTCTGCGACTACGGTGTATCATGTTGTGAACTGACGCGGCCACATTGTATCGGTGCAGCTCCTCAACTTTTTTCTGAAAGACATTGGCAGCAGCAATGTCCACAAGGATCTAGGATCTGACGTCGTACTACACTACCTACTGGAAGATGCCTGTTTCGTTCTTCGAATGCCTGCCTCCTTCTCGTATTGGGTCAAGCTCGCAGACTACGGTGCAGCCGACTCCAACCCGGAAAACCTGGGAAAGTCTGTCACGATCGACCAGTTCACGACACTTGAAAACTCACCGATCGAGCACCTGCTGGAAGGTGATGCAGCTGAGCAGTCTTATGCCGCGGACACATTCTGTTTGGGTCTATGCATGCTACACTTGTTTACTGGAAGGTATGTGATGTTTTAGTTGGATCGTGGCTGGGATGAGTGTCTTCTGACAATGTGTGCCACTGTACCGTGCGTTACACCAGCGCACCATACGAAGAAATTATGGACGACGTGCGCTGTCCTGAGGAGCTTCTGAAAGGCCTGACTAGCGTTTGGATGGTACGTGTTTTCGATTATGAACGTATGTAAACGCCGACTGCTGAGATCGTTTGCCTGACTTCCCGAATGCATTGTCAGAGTCCGCGTAAGAACTCGGGGTTTTCTGTGATAAAGAGCGTGGCGCGCGGCGATGACGTCGACACGCTCTGTCACACACTCTACCGCTACCTTGTGCTATTTGGGCTACCTGAGCGAAACCCAAGCGAAAGCAGAGGAATCGATAAGGTGTGGCAAGTGTTGTTAACACACTTGCGGCCAGAGGATCCAGCGCTGACGCACCTTCAACGACGATCGAGACGAACAAAAGGCGTGAATGAGGCGCGACTGCTCGCAACATCGCAGTTTGACAAGGACAAGTCGTTGTACTCCATCGCTAATGGTTCGAACGACATCATTCGTCGATGCCGTGAAGGACTGCAATCGACATCTGGGGCAATGGAGCTGCTGAAGGAGCTGGTGGCGTTTGACCCGGTCAAGCGTCCTACACTAAAGCAAGTGATGTTTCACCCGGTGTTTTCAGGCCACCGCCTGCCTTCCAAGAGCAATGAAGCCGCCCCGCCGGACTATGTAATCACTTACTACAAGAACCGTCATCGAGGTGGTCGCACGATCCCGGACGTGTAGCGCAGACAGCGAAACTTGATGATGGTGTTCGCAGCATCCAAACAATAACATGGATACAAGTTTTAGTCACATGATTGATCGACTCAGACAGAGCTGCCTCAATGACTGCAAACTCTTCCGAAGCCGTGCGTGATCGAAGCGTCCACTTTGTGGTCGGTTGGTCTTGGCGATTTGTCAACGTTAGTTCACCCGTTGTAGCCGCCTCTAGCCACGCCATCCTCTCATTAGCCCTTCAACTCGATGCACTGTAATGTGAATCGGACGAGGGGCAGTGCAGATACATTGGATCAAATCCTCCGGTCTCAAGTGCTTCTGCCCGTTGACGGCAACAACCCGTGATCCCACTAGAATGCCATGGCGTCGTGCAATGCACTCGTCATCGACGCTCCGCACGACGCAGTAAAAGTCGGTGGAAGACAAGGAGCAGCCAAGCTCTTCCTTGTCATGCAACGTCACGTTGATTTCGACGGTCTTGGGCTCCAAAGCAGCAGACGACGAGGTCACGTTCTCTAGTCTCCTCGACGCTCTTGGAGATCGCAACGCAAAGTGGAACAACGTCGGCCGTGGCAGCAGTCGGAGCAAGTCCACGACCACGTCGAACTTCAAGCTCGTGTCGTTGTTGAGACCGATGAGCAAACTACCGACAACCACATTGGCTCGTGCTGCAGCACTGCCGAGCGTAACTCGCGACACTTCGGCATACCCGCTGCCGGTCTTGGCCACAGTGAATCCGAGTGGCTCACCTGCCGCTACGATTCTCCGCGCATACGATCTCCACTCCATAGCTGGCTGACCATGGCACAGTGGCAACAGATTGATAGCAGACCCAGCGGCATCAACACCAGCGTGAGAGTTATCGGGCATTGCGCCCATCAGCATAGAAAACGACATGTGCATGACGTACCGACGTGCTGGCAACAGTACATGCCTTTGAGTGCACATTCAAGTGGTTCCACGACACCATAGAGCAGCACGTCGTGCACTTGATGGCTGCATTGTGAGCGCCGTCATCCCTTGCGTTCGCTAGTGCCTTCGGAGTCATAGCCAGTGATGGCAAACCCACGTCCTCTACGATCTCCTCGTCACGGCAAGACAAGGAGGTCGTTGCAGCACACAGAGCTAGAAACGACGTGGCCGTAAACCCCACGCACGCCTCTTCGGACAGCTCGTTGGCTGCAGCCAGTAGCGCCACTTGCTTCCGATAGATTGTTGCCACAGGGGACACGTACTTGTCCGCCATGACCAGGTCCGAGACTCGAGCGCCCGCACAAACGGCAGTCCACTTTGCATTGCCCCCGAGTGCCATTGCCCGCGTCTCCTGCAGGGACCACGCGTCCATGACCAGAGACTTGACGACACTTGTTTGGACGCCGAGCGACCGGTGTTTCCCGGCACAGCCTAAACAGAGCAAGACGCCAAAGGAGACGCCGGCCCACTGCGGGAAAACCGCTTGACAGTCGACACAGCGCTGCGGACCGGTTGCACAGTGACAGTTAGTGCACTGCATCCACACATATACACCCACCCACCTGCAGCGTCACGGGCTTTTCGAGCGACGACACTGTCCCGAATGAAACAAACACATGCACTGGTCGAGCAGAACCGATGCAGCGACAATCGACACACACGACGTACGTCGTTGCCGGGCAGGAGACGGATCGCCGTTTCTGTAGCACGTGACAAGCGCATCATCTCCATCGTCACCATCAGATGTCGGATCTCTCACTTGGGTACACTTCGCGATGTCCTGAGCTCGACGTGGCTGCCCAAAGCGCCTCAACGGCTCAGCAGCTACAAATACGGAGCTGCTCGTCGGTATTGTGACTTTCGAGTGTACGAACGGACGTTGGAATGCTACTGCGAGTAGAGTGCGATTGGACGGCGTCATAGACGGGCACGTGCTGTCTCCATGGGCTGTCTGTCCGTCATGGGCACGACATGTGACTTGGGTTCACATTGGCCACTTGGTCACCTGTAGCCAGACACAAACTTACACACATAGAGACTTACACACTGACTTCCTTCCGAACTTGCATCTATCTGCCACGATACATAAGCTTTGCACGTAGCATTCGACAGTCGATAGGGCCGTCCTCGGATAGTGTCGACACTGAAGGATGGAGGAGGCACTGCAACAACGTACCTATAGACATTGGTGCATGGTCGGCCACGCAAGCGCTACGATCGATCTCTTTCATGTCGTTCTTTACCAATAGCTCACGAAATTGCCCAATGTCTGTGCACTCGATGCATCGAAGAATCACTGCATCTGAGGATCGTTTGTCGTCTTCGGACGCACCTTACACTGCCCGTTATCTCCATTCTGCGGTCAATGCATGGCCCTGGACATGCGCGCACGTTGCTTCGATGTAGAATATGCGATCGCTTGTCTATCAACCTTTGGAATTGGCACCGCCTGCACAACATCCGGTGTATGTTGTTGCGTCTCGATGGTATCGCCAGCCGAGTTCTACGAATAGCGTTCCAACAAAACCGCTGTCATCGATTGAGTCTGGTGCAGCGCCCAGCAGACTGACATAGTACCACATGCCCACGTAAGACGACCTCTCCACAACCTCACAGCATGTTGTTTAGCCTTTTACGACGAACATCCTGTGAAGACGCAGATTGCATGGAGACTCGCACAAAACGACGCGCTATATGACGACCAGCAACTCGCGCGTCATGCGAGCGTATGTAAGAAGCATGCAAACCTTGATGACGAGCAAGCGAGTTGCAGCCGAATGATGAAGACCGGACCAGAGATTCTTGATCCCATTCGAGACTAGCAGACGAAAAACCGTCGGGTCTCGAAGGCGTTCTGCAGTGCCTGAGCATGACGTGGATCACTCCAGGCGGCTGACAGCTCAAGCGCAACACGCAGGCGATGTACTGAAGAAATGCAACGCCTGATGTTCTTGCGTCTCTACAGAGTCGCTACAGATAGCCGTCTTGTCGGCTTGCTGTAAACCTGACCCAGTGGCATTCATGGCGCGTTTCTACCCGAGAAACGCAGACTATAAGTGCGTGATCGACAACGTTTGTTGTCGGATAAACTCAACCGAACCCGAGCATGGGTCGCATGCTTCGTGGAACGATCGACGACTACAAAGCAGTGCCGCGTATAGACCACAGCGATGCATGTCAATCACTCACAACGCTAGAAGATGCACATTGTCTCACGCGTCCTTCCAAAACGAGTGCCGGTAGAGTAGTCCGAGAAGACGTGCATATTCACTCACTGGGCCTTGGAGATTGCAAGCACGCCAGTGTGTTGACGCATAAGGTTGGGCCACCAACCATCTAGCACTACTACACATTGTTTTGACGACGCACGCAGGTGTGGGTGTGGTCCTGTGAGCTACGAGTCATTTGTGTTTTGCGGGTATACCACTAGTGTTCATTTCGATGGAGATGCGGCTACATGCAGTCGTTCCTACTACTTCGTGATGACTTCAGTTGGTTCTGTATACTCAGTCACATCGTATGGCGTCGCTCGCGTAGCTGTCAGAGTCGAAGGAACTCGTACAATGTGTCCGAAACAACTAAGCAAGTGTCTCGACACCTTCTATTCGTGCAGGACACAGAGGTCACCTTCTCACCTGAAGGCGGACAACTCGGTGTATACTTGATGCCGATTAGTGTCAGCCATTCACGCAGAGAAGACGTCGGTCCATTCGACACCGTCAAGTTGGTCTGCACCGGTATCTCCTTTTTCTTTTTCTGGTCGCGGCGTACGCGATCTGTTACCCGCGTCGTCTTAGGCCGTCGCACCGTTTTTCGACTGTTTATGAAGCTTTTGCCACCTCGCCACGTCTCTTGACATCGCGAGATCACACGTATGATACTACTGCTCGTGCTGTCAAAGCGAAGTACGATCCTCTAGATATCATCGTCTTCGGCCCTCTGTTGTTCGTGCGTGCGGACGATTCCTTTCCAAGATCCTGAAATACTAAAGATCCTGATCCGAGCAGTATCCCAATTTCGGTTACGCGAATCGTTGCGCCAAACGTCGTATCTTTTTTGGTTGGGATCTCGATCTCGCCCGGCTATCGCAAACCACTACCGAGTGCGTAGGTGAAAGGGCGCTGTGATGGTGATCGGATCCTTTGCAAAGAAGGTATCGTGGAAGAAGCGTTCGCAGACAAAGTGACCGGTGGTTCCGATCAGAGCTCCGGCACCTAAGATAATGATTTGTCTTCATGCTGAAGCGACACGTCACGGCTGGTTGTGCGTGAACAGGAACTGCGAATCTTTTTGACCGCAGCTGCCACGCAACCGATCGGTGGTATCTTCATCCAGGCCTTCCAGCCTCGTGTTTTTGCCGTTGGCGTGCACGTTGTCACCTTGATCTCACTTTTCCTTTCGCAGTGTTCAGCCAAAACCATCGCTCGTCATGCCTCTCAAGCTCTACGCCAACTTCATTAGCCAGCCATCTCGGACCGTGATCTGGGTGCTCAAGGTCAAGAACGTTGACTTTCACCTTGTGGAGATGAACCCAGGCACGGATTTCTTCAAGACCGATGAGTTCAAGGCCTTGAACCCCAATCGCCTCGTCCCGGTCATGAAAGACGACGACTACGTGCTGACGGAAGGGATGGCCATCCTGATGTACCTGAGCGACAAGTTCGACTGGACGGGTCCAAAAGACCTCTATCCAAAAGACATCAAGGTGCGGGCCAGGATCAACGAGTTCCTGCACTGGCATCACACCAACACGCGACTCTTCACGCTCAACATCTTCCGCCCGGCAACTGCCAAGAAAAGCAATAGCGCGACGGACAAAGATTTAGAAGCTCTAGACGGCATGGATGCTCTCATCGAGAGGGTGTTTGGCCTACTCGAGGGGTTCTTGGTGAACGACTACATCGCCCATACGGACTCCCCCGACGATTGCAGACTTTGCGGCTTACTGCGAGATTGACCAACTCGAACTGATGGGCTTTCAGTTTTCCAAGTACCCCAAGGTGGCAGCTTGGATCGGTCGGATGAAAAAGACCGCGCATAATGAAGAAGTTCACAAGACGCTGGAGGGCTACATTGCTAAGCACGGTCTACAAAACTTTCATGCGTAGAGAGCTTTGCGATGAAGCCACCTTTGAGCACGGAGGCCTTTACAATATGGCACACATATCCACTGATGATGGGTCTAGGAAGTAGGCTGGAGTTGTAGACCCCCTCGAATACACGTTGCAAACGCAAGTCTTCTACTCTTGCCTTCAACTGCACTGCGACGTCGACACGTGGTCCGTACTTTTCCGTGGTATGACCCGTTTGTTACCTGTAGATCTTGGCAACTTACGCGTTCGATCTCTTGCTGCAAGGCTCACGTCACCAACCTATCTTTGCGACTCGTAAGTATGACGACCGGTTCTTTGTTCGAATGGATAGCGTCATGTGGTCTACCCAGTACTGTAACGGGGCAGCCCGTTACATGGAATTGTCACTTTAAGAATAGCGACAATAAAGAATATGAAGTTGAATATTCTTTAAACAATATCACCGAAGCGGTGATATTGAAGGGTCGACCAAAGAGTCTGTTCATTGGTTGATATCTTGATGATATCAACCCACCAATCGCCGCAAGACGCGCGCAATGAGTGGTGACGAGACGTCACCATACACTCAGTTATATTAGCATAATTAAGTTAAGTCAAACAAAGAGACAGTAGTTAAAAGACTTAATTGTATTAATATAACAGTTCTGCTTTTACCTTACCTACGCTTCCTCGCTTGACTTGTGTACGTCTGTCGGGGCACCGATACCCTTGCGTTAAGTTCACGCAAGGGTGTGCCCCGTTACACCTGGTAGCACTTTGCAGTCCTTCCAAGGACCACAACATCCAACATGAACATGTTGGATGATGAAGAGACCTTTCACACCACGCGTGAAGGGTTTACCCATTTGAGTGACATCGAATGGGGTGCGGTAGAACGAATGAGTTCTACCGTAGGCGAGTTCGCCATTAGCGCCATGTTGGAGTCTCTAGACAGAGACCAACAAGATGCCGCTGTAGTCAAGTTCATCCAAAATGAACTTGTCGCCGAAAGGGAGAAAGTAGCCTTGCTTCACCAGCAAGGCTCTCAACAGGCCGAGCAGTTGAGAGAACTCGGTGCTCAACAGACAGAGCTGTTGAGACAGCAGCAATTCCATGCTGCTGTTGGCGGGACGGCACATGCGCGTCGTCCCGAGGTCATGAAGGTTGACATCTCCAAGTACAGTGGAGTCATGGAGGACTCCCTGTTACTATAGTTTGTCGAACTCGACAGAGCCTTAAGGGCTCGTCGCGTCGAAGATGAGCAAATGAAACTCACATTTGCTCAGACCCACTTGGCAGAGCGTGCCAAAACTTGGTCCCTGGGGCTCGATAGTAGCGACACACATGTGTTTAGGTCGCTAGATGACTTCAAGTCCCGGCTCAGACAAACGTTTGAGCCGCCACGAGCTGAGTTCAGGGGTCGTTACGAGCTCCTGAAACTCAAGCAGGGTAAGCGTGATGTGCACGCTTACGCACAACATATACGACTCCTAGCGATTAGTATAACTGCTAACCCAGTTCATGAACACAAGTTGATTACGCTGTTCATGCAAGGGCTCGCAGAAGGGCCCGTCAGGAGCCACCTGTTCCGCCTTGAGCTGAATACGCTTGAAGAAGCGATATCAGCCGCGGAACAGGAAGACTATAGCATGAGACAGGCTCATGCTAGCTCAAACTCTTACCGTCCACCAAGACGACAAGAGATCGGAGGTCCAGAACCAATGGACCTCTGCTATGTTGAGAGCGAGAGACCTCGCTCTTCAAACAACAAGCGATTGCAGAGGTGCAATCGCTGTCAGAAGCTAGGGCACTACGCATACGAGTGTAGTGCTCCACGCCCAGTACCAAGCAGTACTGAGCGAAATCGACGACCATTCGCCAAGAAGGGCAATGGGCGTGGGTCCAGCGCTGTTGCGAAGCCGCAACAGCGAGACGGACCATCAAAAAATGGTCGGGTTCAGTAGGGGCGGAGCGCCCTACTGATCTAGCAACCTCAATAGAATTTGCAAATCTCTTGACGAAAGTTTCTCCAGATACACAATCATTGTGTGTCTCTGCACCTGGTGATGACGTTTCGCTCATCACCTTGAAGTTGGAAGCGACAAATGATTTGTCGCTTCGTGCCCTAGTAGACTGTGGGGCGTCGAACAACTTTGTTCGACGCCAGTCACTAGAGGGTCGTAGGCTCAAGTTCGTTGAGCGCGACATTACCCTCACGAGGATGACGGTGCGCCTTGCAACAGGCGCATCGATTACCATTAAGAAACGTGTAGTCGGAATCCACTACACGTTGGAGGGCGAACAGTACGATGATGACTTCATCGTACTAGATCTGGATGACAAATTTGATGTCATCCTGGGATTACCTTGGCTCAGAAGGTACGAGCCAAGGGTGAGCTGGCAGCATCGATCCGTGAAGATGCCTGCCACTTGTTCATCAGATGGCCATCTGATGAACATCTTGGAGCGTCCACAAGCGTGTGGATGTTCTGCGAGTGAGTGCGATGGCCTCACTTGCGGTTCGGTCGTTAGCACGACTGCACAAGATCACAGTGTAGTTGATCACTACACTGTGGAGCAAGCTCCCGGCGGCTGTACAAGAGTACAGGCTGCGCCGAAGGTCCACCACTCGAATAAGTCGAGTGGACCGGGACGTGGATGCAGGCCTAGCGGGCGACATCTTAGACAGAAGAAAACTGTTGCCCTCAAAGGGCAACATGGACATCCTAGGTCTACTGGAGAGTCGACCGTAGAGGATCGGTTCCTGACTGTGGTTGCACAGCCACAGTCGGAAGACGTCGAGGAAATAAGCACCCACGTACTTGAGGAAGGAATTCCTCAAGAGTCGCTTGCTGAGGGATTAGGCCCTCAGCAACCTGTGGAAGCAAGTTCCCAGGAAGAAACCGAGACGTTGAACGTCTTGGTTAATGACGGATCAAGCGTAGGCGCTTATACGCTTGATCTGATTGTGCCTCCGAAGTTGACTTCGGAGATAACTCAGTTGCCAACGCTAGAACCGAAACGGTTCTTGCGTGATCTGCGTAGTGGCAAAGTCAAGCAGATCTGCATACTCGTCACAGAGGATGAGTATGTGGTCGATATTCGGTCGGCCACAGTATTTGCTGAGAACGAACGGGTTCTCAGCAGCTCATCGATGGACGAAAGTGTCCTCGATGAGAAGACTCGGATTGAGCGATACACGTCTCAATCCTGGGAGTCACTTCAGGCAAATCCTTTGTATAAGGATTTGATCGAATTCAAGGACGTATTCCCTGAATCCGTACCTTGCGAGTTGTCTAATGACAAAGGCACTCGACACGAGATCGAGCTCAAACCGGGCTCGAAGTACTGTGTCATGAAGCAGTGACCACTGCCTCGTGAACAAGTACTAGCTATCGACAAGCTCTTTGCCGATCGCTTAGCAGCGGGCCATGTGAGGAAAGCAACATCCCCTCACAGCTCTCCGACCTTCTGTGTGCGAAAGACCACAGGAGGATGGCGGATAGTGCACGCATTCAACAAATTAAATGCTGCAACGGTACCGGCTCAGACGCCGATACCGAGGAAGGACGTAATCATAGATGGTATGTCAAAGAGTACCATCTTTTCGTCCATGGATCTGATGGATGGGTTCTATCAGATCCTCATGCGTGAACGGGACATCCCGTTCACGGCAGTGAGTACCCCCAGCGGGATGCTGTGGGAGTGGCTAGTTATGCCACAGGGGCTGAGCAATGCCCCTGCAACATTCAACAGGTGTGTCACAAATCTGTTGAGACCGGTGCGAGACTTCGCACCGAGTTACTTCGACGATGTGTTCGTCCATAGCCGGGCTATGGACGGAAAGACGGACGTTGAAGTTCACAGAACTCACGTTCGTCAGGTTCTTCAACTTATGCGCAAGCATAAGTTTTACGCCAACCTCAAGAAGTGTATATTCGCGGCTAGCGAAATACCACTTCTATGGTGCATCGTTCGTAAACACGGCGTACGCCCTGATCCCGAAAAGATCAAGGCGATCACCGACTGGCCAGTGCCAGTCGATGTCAAGGAGCTAAGGAAGTTCCTTGGCCTAGCGGCGTACTTGCACAAGTACTCGCGCAACTACGCCGAGATGACTGTTCATCTTTCTTGCTTGCTCAAGAAAAATGTCAAGTGGTCATGGAACGCTGAGTGCCTGCGTTCCTTTGAGGGTATCAAGCAAAGCTTGATGCAATCGCCGATCTTGGCGATTGCAGATCAGGACAGACCATTTTATGTGGTCTGTGACGCCAGCGATTTTGCAATCGGCTGTGCGTTAATGCAGTTCGATGCAGATGACGCGGAGCGCGTCATATGTTATAAATCGCGTCAGCTGCAACCAGCTGAGCGTAATTACCCAGTGCATGACAAGGAACTCCTTGCCATGAAGTACGCACTGGCCAAGTTTCGCGTCTATCTCTTGATAGATAGACCGTTTGTTGTCTATACGGACCATGCGTCATTACGCACGGCCGTAAACAGCCCACACCTCTCGCAAAGGATGGCGAGGTGGCTGTCTTTCTTCGCGGAGTATAACTTCTCCGTGTAGTATAAACCAGGGCGACTCAATGTCGTCGCTGATGCGCTTTCGCGCCGGCCCGATTTCGAGCCGGACGCACAAATCAACAGTGAGGAGAAGCCCACTGTTGCGACACTGTCAGTCAGTGTCCCGTCATCAAGTTTACTTGACGACGTACGAAAGGCATACGCGGAAGATAAGGATCTTCTGCGATTGATGGATAATCTGGTGAATCCATCCAGTAAATCCATGAGGGATTTACCAGCTTTGTACCGATCCTCATCGGATCGGTATAGTACACGCAACGGATTGCTATATTATACAGCCGTTGACGGCGACGCGCCTCGTGTCGTCGTCCCCACTCATAATGATTTGCGATTACGCATCATATATGAGTGTCACGATGCCCCAACAGGAGGCCATCGTGGGAGAGAAAAGACTTACCTCACGGTAAGTCGTGACTTTTACTGGTCACGCCAGTATCAGTTTGTCCGCAATTACATACGTGCTTGCGAGGTTTGTCAACGGGTGAAGCCTAGTCCTTCATCCCGTGCGCCATTGCAGCCTCTGCCTGTTCCGACAGAGTGCTGGCAGTCCGTTTCAATGGACTTCGTCTTCGGTTTTCCCGAAGACGCTCACAAGAATAATGATATTCTTGTGTTTGTTGACCGATTCAGCAAGATGGTGCATCTTGCTGCAGTCCCTGAGTCGATCAAGGCTCAAGGTTGTGCTCGTGTCTTTCTAGACACGGTCTTTAGACTCCACGGGTTACCCCGTGAACTTGTATCCGACCGTGACCCTCGGTTCACGGCGGCATTTTGGCAAACCGTGTTCCGCACATTGGGAACACGATTGAAGATGTCTACTTCTGACCATCCCGAAACAGATGGTCAGACGGAACGTGCGAACCGTTTCCTCGAAGAGATCCTTCGAGGATATGTCCACTCGTTTTCGAGTTGGAGCGAATTCCTACCCATGGTGGAATTCGCCATCAATAACTCGGTGCATGCTTCCACACAGCACACACCGTTTTACGTGAATGGCCTACGCCATCCACGTGTGCCCGCCCTTCTAGAGTGTGACTCTTGGATAAGGGGGGGGGACTCGATCGAGCAAAAACCGTTTTGGCTCTTGCTCATCACGTGTCGACGCTAACGTCGTCACGTATGATGCCGATGTCGATCAAGTCGACATCGATGAAGAAGATCACCTCAGTAATAGCGGCGACGCTATTACTGACGCAGATGATGATGACGATGCTGGTATATTCAGCATCGTCAACGATTATGCCAGCGAGGAAGAAGACAACCTCGCTGAAGAAGAGAACAATCTCTTAGAAGTGCGCACGAAGCGCACTGAAAGACAAAACAAAGAGTCAGCAGAGAACTTCCTGCTGACTCGAGAAGCGGTAGTCCGTTTCGTTCAGGACTCCATCGCAAATGCGGTGGACCTTCAGAAACGGAACGCAGACAATAATGGAAGAGCAAATGTTCTTTCATTTAAAGTTAATGACCTAGTACTACTGTCTACGGTAAACCTACCTGGACATGCAGTCATTAGTGTCGGCAGTAGTAAACTACTGCCGAGGTACATTGGGCCATTTCGAGTGTTGCATCGCAAGGGCAATGCATACACACTCGAATTGCCACGTAAGATGCGCACGCATCCTACGTTTTACGTGGGTAGGCTCAGGCCGTACTGTCAGTACGATCCTTCTTCTTCCGGTGAAGATAGCCCCCACGTTCAAGAACATCCATCAAGTTCTTGCGTTCGCGCTCCAGACGATCCGTCTGGTCGCGCAGATATGATACCTCGGAACTCAACCGAGATATCCCCACGCGAGCTGTCGCCAGCTCGCCGAATAGGGAGCGGACATCCCGCTCGACCTGAAGCTGCGCCGTGGCATAATCGGCGCGATCCCTCGCCCGATCAGCCTCGTGATCCTTGCGGTTCTTCCGCACGGTATCAGTCAAAGCGTAGCGCCGGTCGCGCTCGTGCTTCAAGTCATCGCGCAATTCATCGATTGCGCGATCCATCTCGTAAGGGTCGAGATGGTGAGCCGAATCATCTGGAGGAGGTCTTTCCTCCTCCACCACATCCTTTGGTGGATGCTCACGGTGATCAACGCTTTCTAGTGGAGCGCATCTTAAATCACCGTGACGATTCAGGATCAAGGACGAGCTACCTCGTCCAAAGGCGGGGGTTTCCACCCTCTTGGAACAGCTGGGAGCCCCGCTCTCAGCTGTTGATGGATGTTGAAGGTCTCGTCCGCCAGTATGACGAGACCCATCCGATGAGTCCTTGGGCCCATCGGTAAACACGCGCCCTAGGCGCTTGTAGACGGATTGCAAGTTTGCAATCGCGTCACGCATCTCCTCCGAGATATGTGCCCTTCCCCAGGGCGAATTTAGGGAATACACATCCCTATGTGCACGCTGCGAGTTGTCAACACAACTCGCACAAGGGTCTCCCCATGTGAGGCAAGGAATGCCTGCCTCACTCGATAAACAATGCAACCGGTACCTAGCACCGGTAGGCGTTCGATTTTCGAACCTGAGGCGTGTCGCCTTAAGTTTCTTGAGCCACCCTTCTCGTCCAAATTTTTTTACATTTTGGACGAACGCGTTCCACGCAGCCAAAAGCGAGGCTTTGTCGCGCTTTTAGTTGCTGTTGTACCATCGATGTCTAAGGAAGACATCGAGATAAAAATCTTCTTCAGCGCGAAAGTTGCTCGCGCTGGAAGTCAAGCCGTGAAGCTCGGTTGCATCGAATAAGGGTATTCGATGGTGTTGGCCTGTCTCGTGAGACAAGCCATTGATGAGCCGTTCGGGCAAACGCCACGGCTTAAGCTCATCACGCTTCACGGTGGTACCTTTGTTGGTACCACGGTTGTCAGTATGACGATGGGTTGCACCATCGTCAAGTCGCTCGTGCGAAGGAGCACGAGCTGATTGCGGTGATGAGCAAACATACTCATCACCAGATTCGTCATCACTGCCGAACAGAATGTGTTGCAACTCACGAGTCCGTTCGTTCGGCAGTGGTCTTGGAGAACACTGAGGCGTCGCCGGTGAGCGAGACGCCTCTGCAGCATTGCCCGAGTCAGACACGTCTGACTCGCCAGAGTAGATGAACTCAATGTCGGGGTCATCATGCGCACGCGGTGCTCTACCGCGTGCACCTACAGCACCTCTTACTGCAGGCGAACAACGAGCAGCAGACGACGAATCGTCTGCCGCAGAAGCTGGCACAGGCACAGACTCTGTGTGCCTTGAGTCACCCCGCATAGACATGTTAACTATGCGAGGTCGAGCGGAAAGTGAATGGAACGGACCCAACAAGTGCTCCCTATCCCAATGGTGACCAACGGGTGGCCGCCATTATTTTCGATAGTCCCACGGTGACTATCAGTTAAGGGGGGGTGATGTAACGGGGCAGCCCGTTACATGGAATTGTCACTTTAAGAAAAGTGACAATAAAGAATATGAAGTTGAATATTCTTTAAACAATATCACCGAAGCGGTGATATTGAAGGGTCGACCAAAGAGTCTGTTCATTGGTTGATATCTTGATGATATCAACCCACCAATCGCCGCAAGACGCGCGCAATGAGTGGTGACGAGACGTCACCATACACTCAGTTATATTAGCATAATTAAGTTAAGTCAAACAAAGAGACAGTAGTTAAAAGACTTAATTGTATTAATATAACAGTTCTGCTTTTACCTTACCTACGCTTCCTCGCTTGACTTGTGTACGTCTGTCGGGGCACCGATACCCTTGCGTTAATTTCTCGCAAGGGTGTGCCCCGTTACAAGTACCAACGTGTGACGCACCTGGTTTGCAATAAGTTTGAGACCCAGTATACCCCATAGGGTCCTGAAACGACGACGTGCTGCAAAAGGTCGCATACGCCATCGCGTCCACAACACCTGCAACTTGCTAAGGTGTCATAACCGCCCACCGTTTTTCATGTGCATTTTTGCATACTGTATATTGTTACGCGGCTGCAGTAGTCTCGCGTCTGTCTACATCGGCACAAAAGTGCTCAGTCCTCTGACAACGACAACCATTCGATTGTTGTACCCCGACAGCGTGGAACTCGCTGTCTTTGCAATTGCACGTACCACGAGGCAAACGAGTTACAGAGGAAGGCGGAAAGTGACAAACTCGTGAAGGTCGATGTGGGCTAATGCGCCACCTAAACATAAGCAGACGCTCGTAGCCCTTTTGCAAAGGTGGTGCCGTACCGTGTCCTTCAGCACTTGTACTCTTGTATTGGTAATCTCGTCTCTTACCTGAGCTCTTCCGTGGTCATAGCTCGTTACTCGGGGAATGTCGACCGTTCGAATTCTACGGCCAAGGCAAACGAAGGTTACGGTTGTCAGTTAGTTGCGAGAGCGAACGTCTATTTAACGGCCGTCGTCGAGGAGGACTGCACAAGTGCGTGTAAAACACGCGATTTCGTCTTCTTTTCGACGCTATTCGTCACGATTCTTGCATGCGTCTTTCCTATTTTGGAACGCGGCACGTCCAATTTGACCGCTCCTCCTCAGCCACGTCACTCTATAAACTTATTCAGCAACAGTCAGCTCGAACAAAAATAATCGTCGACAACGCTCGACATTCGATCGACACATCGGCACAAGGCACTACCGGAGGTCCATCCAAGGGGAATACCACACACCCATTCACCCACCCACCCACCCCCCCACTTGAGCAGCTCCGACGTCACAAGTACACAACCGCAGCTTCCATCTCGTCCGAATCGACCTGAAGATCCCATGGCCCAGCCAGGTACATCCATCCATCCATCCATCATCACTGCCTCTTGCCCGTGCTCTCTGTGCTGACCTCCCGCACTGTTTCCGCCGCTCTCGCGTCTCCACAACGTCTATAGGCTCGTTCGCCAACCCCAATGCTCACCCGCAGTCGAAGCAGTTCGTCCCAACGTCTGGCTTTGGCGCTGCGCCGCCTGGAATGGCTCCACAGCGGACGCCTCAGCGCGGCGCTGCCCACCAATTCTACCAGAGACCGACAGCTGCTGCGGCTCCAGTGCCGATGCAGTCACACAGCGTGGAACGTCTCCACCAGCCGCCTGCTGTCTCTACTTTTGCCCCGGACGTGAGTGAAGTAGCACAAGGCGTATCGATACAATGGGTGTATCCTGCTACTATACTCCGCGTTCTACTACTACTTTTACTGACACACGGACGTGGTGGGTTTTGTGTGTGATGTAACGATGTAAAGTACCACCAGCCAGGCACGACTGCCATGCCTCCAGCTCAGCCGTACCAGGTGCCACCGCCAGGCTTCCCACACCGTCAGCCGACCAACTTTGACGGGTTCGTGCAGCATGAACCGCTGCGAACGTCGCCCAGCCACAACTACCCACAGCAGCACATGCAGCGTCCGCCACAGGAGCAACCGGCTGACTTTCTTAACCAGCTTTCGGGGTGCGTAGCGCTGCTCTTGTGGAGAACAAAACTGACGACGGCCGGGGGTTGTTGTTGACACGTGTGGTGTCTTGTGCTTTGACGCTGCGGTTGATAGCAATCCAATGGCTGGACTAGCGATGAACAGTGCACAGGACTTTCTGCAGAAACAGTCGGAGATGTATCTCCCAGGAGCATACGGCGTGTGGGGCAGCCTCAAGTACTACTTTACCGTCAACAACTCTTACGTCAAGAGTCGTCTCAAGGTACGAAGCCTGACCACATGCTGAGTACTGCATCCAGAGTCGACGCTAAGCCTCTCTTTATCTGCGCCACTGCTAGATCTTGTTGCTCCCGTTCAGACACAAGAACTGGCGCCGCATGGGCAATGGCAATCAAGACGAAGCGAAGCCAGTACGTGTGCGGAACACCGATGGTGCAGGATGAGCCCAGTGTGCTTGGAGCTCACGTCAGTGTGCACTGTTTTGTGCGAGCAGATGCAGTATGCTCCCCCCACTCTTGACAGCAATGCGCCGGACCTCTATATCCCGTTGATGGGCTTCCTCACTTACATTCTGATCGAGGGCTATTCCAAGGGCACTTCGAACCAGTACGTTGCGAACGCTGTCGGCGCTCCGTCGCGTTTCTTCGAACAGCAATGGGTCTCACATCACCTTTCTTGGACAGGTTCAGTCCAGACGTGATCAGCAAAGATGCGAGCTACTGTCTGGTGATGCAGCTGGTCGAGATTGGCGTCCTTGCCGCCTGTCTCTACGTGCTCAACAGCTCCATTTCCTTCCTCGACTTGGTCTCGTTTTCCGGCTACAAGTACATTCCGCTCGTGATCAACACCGTCGTCTTCCAACTGCTCGGCTCCGTCGCTTATTACGTTTCGCTCCTGTACACTGGCGTTGCCGTGTCCTACTTCACGGTACGGGCTCAATGCCGCCTGCGTTGGTCGCTCGTCGTGTAACGTGTTTGTGGGTGTGCATGTGGCACAGCTGAACTGCATGAAAGGCAGCGTCGCTGAACCGAGTCCTGAGAACCGCCTCTTCCGGAACTACCTGCTCTTCGGGTGAGGATCTTGTGCTGCTGACACGAGAGCAGACACTTTGGTGTGTGCGCGTACTCATCTCCGCCTTTTCCGCTGTCTTTGCGTGGTCCTTGCAGCGTTTCGTGCCTGCAGCTCGTCCTCGTCTGCTGGATCTCATACACAACTGCGCCCGGCGAGTAACGAACGAACTGTACTGGTGGCCACAGTCTGATCCAGCGGTTTCGTGCGAGTGGGTGAAGAGGCTATCGGGGGCGAAAGCTGCTGAACAGCGGGACGCCGTCTTGCTGACGTTCTCATGTGTACGAAGAACAGGATGTAATGATCAAAGCCATGTCGCACGTGCACTTGCTGCACTTCGGTCTCCTTCTTTGTCCATACCTTCTCGACGCGTCTCTTCCAGCTTGCAACAAACGATTCCAACGTGGCATCCGACTTTCTTCGCAAATGGGCGGTGTTAAGAAACACCTAGCTTTTGGTCGTCGCGTGTGTACCCCCCACTCATCCATAGATGCGGAAGAACACTGGGACGACGACCTCGGCCTACCTATTGTACATGGCTAGAGAACAAAATGCAATACACGAAAGTGACACGTGATCAAAGCATCGGACCGATCCGAAATGCAAAGCGCCAACGGGACTGAGCGATTGCAGTTGCACGACCCCTTTTCGTCAGGCACTTCATCCTCGCAGCAGCAAATCCGTCCTTTCAATCGACCTGTCCACGCCACTCTCACTTCACGTCACAACGGCCATAATGTCCACTGCATCAAACTGAAACGACCCAAACGGCGTCGCGCCTGCAGACTGACGTGGACTCGGTGCTGCGGCACACGTTTCTTCGTCCACGCGCTTCAGCGGCGCCGACAGCGACCGCGCGAGAATCTGCACAGACCGCTCCTCTCTCGGCTTAAATAGTGAAACTGCTGCTCGTGGAGAGGCAACAGTCAAGTGCCCCACCGGTTTCCCAAAGTCATGCGGATTGCCATCGTACTCGAACGTTTGTCCAGTCAGGCGCTCGTTCACGCGGAACATCTCGTCGACGCTAAACCCTTTGCTCCCGGCACCAAACGTCTCGCCATTCAATCCGTCGTACGACGTCGCCGTGTCGCGTTCCGTGCCAAAGTGGCCGCGAGGCGCCTTCTTCGCGCTCGTTTTCCCCGCGGGCCGATCGTTGTGCGGCGTCGACACAGACCGCTCTTGCCGGCACGTCTTCTTCTTCCCTCCGCCACTCGTATGCCTGTCCTTGCTCGCTGTCTGCTCGTCTACGCCACGCGCCGTCATAGCCAGCGGCCGATTCCGCGGCACTGACGCTGCTCGGCCCGCGCCGCCGCTGTTCAGTGCTGCCGCAGCAGCAATCGTGCCCCCACTGGCCTTGGGCTTGATCCCCTTGTGCGTCTTCACCCAGCGCTTGAGCCTCGACATGAACGGCATGACGCTCCACGTTTTCTTGGGCAGCGCGTCGAACGCAAACCACTCGATAGTGCTAATCTCTTTGCGCGTCTGCGGGGCAAACGCGTACGTCTCGGGCACGTTCACGCACACGTACATGCGCATGCGCTGGTCAGCGGCCACAAAGTCGAGGAACTCGCTCGGCATGAGGCTGTCGCTGACGTCGTAGCCGCACTCTTCGAGCACTTCGCGCCGCGCGCAGTCGACGTCCGACTCGCCTTCGTTCACTTTGCCGCGCGGGAACGTCCAGCTCGTGCCTTTCCAGTTGCGCACGAGCACGAGCTTCGTGCGCTTGGCGTTCAGCAGAATGCAGCCTACGACCGGCACCTGGCGCTGGTACGTCTTAAAGTCCTGGAAGAGCTCGTCGCAGCGATGCGCGAGCGGCTGAAGCAGCGGGCAGTGCGCAAAGATGCGGCTGGCAAAGTCGTTGAGCTTGACGTGCGGCACGTGCGCGTACTGGTCGGCGTAAAAGTCCTCGTAGAACCAGTAGCACTGCTCGATCTGGAAGAACAGCCGCTCGCTCGACGCGAGTTCCGACGCCGGGAGGTTCACGAGGAACCGGCTCTGGAGCTCGTCCATGACTTCGGCCACGCTCGGCTTCCTGGCGGTGGCCGCGGGCAGGAGCGGCAGCGGCGGCGGCGATGAAGACGACGACGACGTGGTCATAGTGCGCGCGCGTTGGGGCAGTGCGGAAAGATCGGCGCGGGAGTGATGGTCGATCACCACTTGCTTGCCGTGCGCGGTTTCTTTTCGTTTCTGTGCGGCAACTTGGAAGGAAAGGCTTGAAGCTGGGGAGCCGAGAGTGCATAGACGATGAGATATGATATCGACGGAGTGATCGAGAACAAGAGGGAGGCGATAGACAGTGTAATGATGAGTGGACCTGTAGGATTGCATGTCCTGGACAACGCGATGATTTACGTGAATGCGCACTGGCATCATACCGTTTTCTCCACGCTGGCTTTTTCCCTCCCCTTGCTTTCATCATCATCTGTTCTGGTGTGCCCCAGTTGGTTTGACGCACTTTTAGCCAATCCGTGTCGATGGACCGAGCGCTACCACGTCATTGGATGAAATGAAGCAAAGCACAAACGTCCGTCCATTGCCTTCACCGCCCATGACGCAGCCCGCCGAAGCGCCTCGACGCAAGCGCAAGAGCAGGTTCAGCGACGCTCCCGCGACTCCTGCAGCGCCACGAGCCACATCAAGTGATGCAGAAACAGGATCGAACGTTGCAGTGGACCCGTCGTCCCTGGCTCGCGCAGCAGCAGCCAAGATCGCGCGTGCGATCCCGGGGTCCACAGCAAGTGTACCCATGTCAGCAACTATGTTGCGCACTACGACAGCGCCGTCCGACCCGGATGAACTTCGACGCTTTGAGCAGGAGAAGCGGCGGCGCACGGACCAGATCTACAAGTCGGTACAGAGCCAGATGAGCCACATCAAGGCGCTGTTGCGGAAGCCCGGGGCGTCTACCGCTGGAGCAGTAGCAGCTGCACCTGGCGATGTGCAGCGCGGAGCAGCGAGTGGCGGTGTGTTCATGCCAGCTCCGCTTCTATTGGACGAACACGGGCGGGAGGTCGATGCAGCGGGGAACGTGGTTGCCGACAAGCCGACTGTGGCATCGGTCGCAATGCTGAAGGCGAATCAGAAAGGAGCAAAAAGGACCGACGGTGCAAAGACGAAGAATCAGAATCCGTACTTGTCGCACCGCACGGTCGATGACAAGGACAAGATGGAGACCGTGGACCCGAGGCTCAAGACCACGAAGCGAGAGACGTTCGTGACTGGTCTTGTTTTGCAGCGTATCGAGCGCGTGAGGTGGATGTTGTGTTGACTTTACACACTGTGTGTTGTGTAATCAATGGTGTTGCGTAGGCGTGCTCGGAAGACGTTTCATTTTGTGACAGAAGGGACGTTTGTAAGGCAAGCAGAACAAGTGCGTGCGCGGGATGCTAGGAAGATGATGGCTGGATTTACGTCTGGCCGCAACCCGCGTGGATACCAGAAGGAATCGATCGTTCCTATTGACGACGAAGGAGGAGACGAGGTGAAAGGAGATGCTGACACCACTAGCAGAGTCGAGATTGACAGCGTGGATGTTCCACCCCAGCCAGAGTCGTCTACACCTGACGTAGAGTGGTGGGACGTGGAATACCTTCCGAAAGATAAGCGCGTGTTAGTGGACAAGTTTGGTTTCATCACCGCTCACGTCCGTAAGGAAAACCCGGACGTGACGGTGTCATACTCGGACATGAAACTCAAGTATTGCGGAACGGCGCATGTTATCGAGCATCCTGTGCGACTGAACCTGATTATGAAGCGCGACGACGCACCCGTGGCTGTTCCGCTTATGCTCACGGCTGCGGTACGTTTTATATGCTAAAGTGAAATGTGTGGCAAGAGGCCTAATGCTAACATGGCGTACCGGGCGGATTGTGGAAATCAGGAGCGCAAGAAAATTCGTCGTCAGAACCGCGCTGATCGCGAGAAAGATAAGCAGGATAAAAGAGCTCTAGGGTTGCTGCCGCCACCCGAGCCAAAGGTGAAGCTGTCAAACATGATGCGCGTGCTGTCGGAGCAAGCTGTGGCAGACCCGTCGGCGATCGAGCGCAAGGTTCGTGAGCAGATAGCGCAGCGCGAGAAGAATCACGAAATGCGCAATCTTGCGCGAAAGCTTACGCCAGAGGAGCGTCGCGAAAAGAAGCTGCGAAAAATCAAAGACGATGCCGCCGGCGATATTCATGTGGCGCTCTTCAAGTACGTGTCGACTCTCGCTCTCTCTCTCTCTCTCTTTCTGTGTCGAGAAGGCTCGCGTCGTGTCGACTAATTAGCTCATGTTTTGCTACTGAAAAGAGTGCCCGATCTCTCGAACCCGCAACATCGTTTCAAGGTCGATGTCAACGCGCAGCAGTATCACCTCACGGGTGGCGTGCTACTGTGCAAGGATAGCAACATCAACATGGTGGTGGTCGAAGGAGGCAAAAAGGCCATCAAGCAATACACGAAGCTGATGATGCGACGCATCGACTGGAACGGGGCTCGCGAGGCCCGGCAGGAGTCAGACAACGAGGACGAGGATGAGGCCGACCGCGGCAACGGCTGTCTGCTCGTCTGGCAGGGCGTCGTAGCTCGTAAGGCGTTCAACAACTTTCGCTTTCAAGAGTGCCGAACGTCCGCGACGGCACGGAAGGTGATGGAGGCCAAGAACGTTGTGCACTACTGGGACCTCGTGGAGAAGTCTGCCGAGACCACGGCCATTGTTTTGTAAGAGGCCGAGGGAGTGGGTGGAGATGGACCAGCACTATGGACGGAATCGCACGGGAGGAGGAAGGAGAGTCGGAGCCGTAAACAACGAACGACTGGATGTGTGTACGCCAGCAGCTCCGAACGAGTCCAACGGCACATGCACAGTGCTGCGCCACTGAGGTAACAATCGGTCAAGCCATTCGACAGTGCTCGGTCGTCTTGTTTCTACGAGCGTCGCGTTGCGGTGTTGTTGTCGTTGGCTTTTTTCGCAGGCAGTCGTCCCCTTGTTGTCGCTGGTCGACGATGCGTTGACTGCCAGACAGTCAACTTGTCTCGACCGCCACGAACGGATGTGGAAAGACGGGCAACGGACGACGCGACGACCGGATACTGCACATCTGGACGGCCGGATCCGTCCCGGTACAAGAGACCAAGTGTTGCTCTGCGGCGGTGAAAAAAGCCTCACACCAGCGGGAAAAGAGCGACTGGAGCTAATCTCGTTTGCCAGCTCATGGCGGGGCTGGCGTGCCCTCTCTCGCCTGTACGATGGGCACGTGTGGTCGACGCCGAAAAGGCATTGACCGCTTGTACGACGCAGCGGTGCCCAACAACTCGGCGAATCCAACAGCGTATTGATTGGTATCCACCACCGCCACCACCACCAGCGAGCGAGCCAGCGGTTTCGCTTTTGCTACGGCCGTCATGGTCTTTTACAGCCTGACAACCGCCACGTTGCGCCAGTCTCAGCTCGGCGCCTGGAATAAAGACAAGACAGCCGCCATGTCAACATAGCGACGGGCGAGCGGCAGCAGCAACAGCAGTCAGGACGTCGAAAAATCCGCATCATCCGCTCGTACTTTTTGCACTGCACTGCACTGCGTTCTGCGACGACTCAACAAACTCAGGTGGAGCAGTAGCGATTGCAACAGCGCGCCAGCCACACGCCCACGAGACGAAAGGCAGTGCAGCGCCTCTACTTCGTGTGTTTGCCGCTCGGTTGCGCACGTTCGATTACACTGCGCCACGTGTGACGTGTCGCGCCGTCTGTTTGCGGTCCACGAACTGACACGAGTCTCTGCAGGATGTTGGACGCGGGCAGCCCATAGGTCCGCGATCGAGTCTTGCCGCGCTCGTTTATGTTTGCGGAGGTGGCAGCCCACCGAGTCGGTCGGCACGACTGCGTTTGTCTCCTCGACGGCCGCGTCTCTACACCCGCTTTTACCCGTTTTTCTCCTTTACGCGAGACAGGTGGCAGCATCGTCTCTTGCACCGCCAGGCAGCGCAAACTACTATTGCGACTCCTACGACTACTACTACTATTGCTACAACAACAACTACTACTACTACTACTACTACTACTACTACTACTACTACTGCTACTACTACTACTACTACTACTACTACTACTCCGGCGTGCTGCTACTTTTGCTACTACTTTTGCGCCTCCGACTGCTGGCTGGGTATGTCAGTCGCGTGGAATTGAAGTAGCGCGCTGAAACGGCTGGAAGAGCCGCGGGGAGGAAGGCACCAGCTGGACACGACAGCCGTCGAGGCGCCACTAAAAAGCCCCAGCCCTGGGCAAGGACGAAAACGGCGCGAGGCTGTCGTCCACGTGCGCCTATCCCATACCCACGCGCGGGCAACGCACAGCAAGCAAAAAAGACGTACGGCAACAACCACAGTAGTCGTCGTCGTCGCAGTAGTAGCCGCTATCGTAGCACCCACAGTAGTAGTAGTAGTAGTAGCCGCAGCTACCGCAGCTATAGTAGTAACAAGCACCGTGGTCGCCGCAGTACTTAAATTAGGCTGCGTCAGCGTGGGCCGGCGCGAGGAAATCAGCGCTTCTCGGGTCTGACCCGACCCGACCCGACCGTGTGGCCGGTTGTCTGGCTGAACGGCCGAACGGCGGGAATAAGGTCACGGCAGACCCGTCTTTACGCACTCGTTCGTCTCTTCGACTGCTCGCGGTGGGTGTCGTCCGGTCGTTCGTCTTTGCGCACCACGTCGACTCAGCTCCGGATAAGGCAGAAGAGACAGCGGGTTGGGGATTGCGCGCCTGCTCTCTCTCCGGTAGTCCGTCGTCGAGCGAAACAAACGCAGCGCACGGCTATGCACGGTCGCTTCTACCCGACGGTTCAGCTCGGGTGAGAAATTCGAGCTCCCAGCCGCCCGCTCCCCGTCTGGTACGGACGGACGCGTACGACGTACGTACGTACGTGTACAACAAACAAACAAACACACACACACCCACACACAGACTCAGTCGGTCACACACACAGACTCAGTCGGTCACACTCACAGACCCACTCACCCAAACGACGGACGTCACAACACAATTCGCTCTGCTCTCGTCGTGGAGACTGCCCGTCAGTTTGTCTTTGACTCGCCGTCTGCTACACCGCTCAGCTCATTCATTCACCTGCGTGAGGCGACGTCCACTCTCTCTCTCTCTCTCTCTCTCTCTCTCTCTCTCTCTCTCTCTCTCTCTCTCTCTCTCTCTCTCTCTCTCTCTCTCTCTCCCCTCAGTAATCCATTGTCCATTCGTCTCTAGCACGAGCGCAACCTGTTCCAGTCGCACACTTCGAACATGCGGATGACGACCACAAGCAGCGCGACGACAATGGCCACTACTACTACTACCACTGACATGGAATCCATGGACACGTCGAGCTACAACAACGCGAACCGGATGCACGTGCTGGCGAACGGCGACATTGTGGACTGCGGACGGCTGCCACAGACGGCCCGCAACAACCTCTACAAGACGGAGCTGTGCAAGCACTACACGGAGAACGGGAGCTGCCGCTACGGCCCCAAGTGCCAGTTCGCCCACGGCGAAGACGAGCTGCGGGGAGTGCTGCGCCACCCCAAGTACAAGACCACTCGGTGCAAGGCCTTCTTGTCCACGGGCAAGTGCATGTACGGCTCGCGCTGCCGCTTCATCCACACGCGGTACCCTGGCGAAGAGGACCAGCGCTTTGTCAACTACGGCAGCAGCGACCTGTCGAGCACTGAGAGCGAGTCGGACGAGCTGGAGGCCATGCCGTCACACGGGGACCTGCTCGTGAACCCGTACGGCAGTGCACTGGAGCCGATCGACCTGTCGCAGCCATTCAGCGGCTTCCACCAGTCCATGTCGCTCGCCCCGCTCTCATGCCTCACGGCGTCGTCGTCGTCCCAGCCCGAGTTTGACTCGTACTTGAGCTACGACCCGTTCCGCCACTACGCGTTCCCGAGCAGCGACCTGAGCTGCTGCGACCAGCGCAGCAGTATCACCAGCAGCAGCAGTGCGGACGCATTGAGCGCGTTGTCGCCCCGTTCCTCGAGCAGCACTGAGTCTGTAACGTCCAAGTTCTCCCGTCTGACGATCTTCCAGCGCATCTGTCGCGAAGATGCGTAGTGCGCGAGGGTTTGTCTCCATCATCATCTTCCAGCATGACTATAATTTATCCGACGACCACGAGCACACGGCGAAGAGAGAGAGGGAACGAGCGCCGCATGAGCAGTCGCTACAAGGCACAAGCAAGAAGGACTTTTCTTGGGCGCGACTGGCACTGGCGCGGGTGCTGCCGACGAGCCTTTTCTCGCTGCTGGCCGCAAGTGAGAAGATGTGCGTGTGAATGACTGCCGTCTTGACGGGCGGACGGCAGCCCTGTTATCACTTGCAGCCCGCAACATTTGATACTGTACCTGTTCTTCCTACGTCGCTTCAAGATTTGCATGACCCATCACCACCACCGACTCGGCGCCAACGCGTGGCCGAGTCATTAATTTGTTAAATTACCGCTTAAAAATTGCTTTTTCTGTCTTGCGGTTGTGCAACGGTGTGGCCCGAGTCGAACAATGTTTTGCGTTTTTGCAACACGGTATAATTGCTTCAATGCCGTGACGCGCTGCAAAAAGTGCGCGGCGTTGCAAACGTCGTTTAGCAACTTCTAAATCGTACGTGGCGATCGTGACACTCAAAGCAAAGGATGCCGAGCGTTGCGTAATCAGCAGTGCCCCACGCATTGTGCGAACCGCAATGGTACGTTTTGATTGGTCAAAACGGCATTGTCCGGTCTGTCATTGGTGGTAGTCACGCGCGACGAGCGCCATACTGTCCAGGAACGCCATCATCGATCGATCCAGAGAGCCGCTCTGCGTCACGTCCCCCGTCGCCAGTCTCGCAAACCCGTCGGAGCGCAGTGATAATGTGCACCAAAGCACTCGTCGTGATGTGGGTCAGCTTGTGCGTGGTCATGGTACGTTTCGACCCCTTCTTCAACTGATACGGACAGTCTGGAGCATGTACCGATCCTCAATACAACCTGTGCAACGGTTCTGCTTGTTTCTCTGTGTGGGGTACCAGCTGTACAGCGATCCACGACTGTGGGTAGTCGTGGCCTCGTTTATGGTACGACTTGACGCCTCTCGCGCTTGTGTCTCTTCTTCGTACGCTCTGTTGTTCATGCTGCAGTGGACTATCACTTTGTGCCGCAGGGGTTTGCACTCGCTCGGGTCATGACCGCACCGGTGGCACTGGCGAGAGTCAAAGTCTTTCCTGCGCTGTCGCCATCTGCTCAGCTACTGTACTGCAACACGGCCGTGTCGCTGCTGCACTCGGTGCTGACGTCGTTGCTGGCGACATCGACACTGCTCACGTCGCATTCGCTGCATAGCGATTACGTCAACGCCGCCACGAGGAGCGAGTTCATCACGACGGCTATCTCGACTGGTTGTGCTGTGTCGCTTCGATTGTCGATCGATGCATCGCTCACGTTACGATGGTCGTTTGTTGGTTGCAGGGTACTTTGCATACGATCTGTGGGACTACGTGCTGAATGGGCTCTACGTCAAGTCGCCGGACATTGTGTTCCACCACGTCGTCGTGCTCGTTTGCTACACGTCAGCGCTCTCCAAGACAGTCGGCGTGCCATTGCTGTCACTTGCGCTTGTCTGCGAGCTGCACTCGGTCTTCCTGCACAGTCGAAAGCTCTTGACAATGAGCAACTACTCTGCACGGTACTCTCGCTTTCTACGGTGGGTCTGGCGCGCTCAGTGGGTATTCTTTGCCCTCGCACGGCTTCCGCTCCACGTCTTCGTGGCCGTGCTGACTTACCAAGCGCGAAGTCTCTTTGCTCGGCAGGTGCGGTTCTCGGCTCTGCTCTGCATTGTGACGCTTTTGTTCTCAAGGGGACAATTCAATTGCATGCCGTCTCTTGTCTTTGGTGCAGCTGCATTGGACGATGGCATTCGGCGGCATTGTGTTCATCAATCTACTGAACGCTCAGGTACGTCTGGTGATCGAAACGATCGCGGGGCACCTTCAGTTGACGATGACGACTCACGATGGACGTTTCTGCAGCTTTTCTATGACGTCTCTAAAGCGTATCGAAAGGACTATGCAGTATCGAACGCACACAGCTGCTGACAACAAATACGCTCGACCTAAATTAGGTCTGCCCAAATCAGTGCATCGTTCTTCGACTTGTTCACTCGCAGAAAGCAGGTAAGAGCACGCGAATATGTCGGCAAAGGGCGCCAAATCGGCAGACGCAGAATGGTTCTCGCCTGAAGAACTGGCAGCCGCGCGCGAAGACTACCTCGCAGAGCAAGAGAAGGAGCAGCCATCACCTCAGGCACGGAAGTTGTCGTTCGTTGTATCTGATCCTGGCGGACCAAACAGCGACTATTTCTGATACCATTTGTATCGCCTCTGTGGACGAAAAAAGGTCAAGTTGCGGTACGCCATTGCACTGGCGAAAAGCCGCAAGCGCGACGACAAATACCGTGCAATCGGGTTACTGGAAGGTACAGTGTACCCCGGCAATACAGGATAGAGAGACGGTGGTTTGGGCTAATCCAGTGCGGGTGTCGTCAGATCTCCTGGACCAGAGCTATGCCCCCAAGGACAGTCTGTACTGGATCGCTCTAACGCTATGCGGACTGGGCGAGTATCGTGCAAGTCGGAGTTACTGTGAACGCCTGCTTCGCGTGGAGCCATCTCACATGAAGGCTTTGTTACTGCACAAGAGGATCAAGGAGGTCGTCGCAAAAGGTTTGTCGTCTGCATTCGAGTGAGTGACGTTGGTGTTGAGTGTCAAAGTTGACTCGAAGCGCTGTGGTGATACTGTGAGCAGAAGACGGGGTCGTCGGCGTGAGCATCTTTGGCGCAGTGGTTATGGCGGGACTGGCACTGAAGTTTCTACTCAAGCGATAAGCCATTGTCCCGGTGAGGTCCAGCAACTGATGTAGCTCTTCGCTATGCAAGTTCCAAGGACGCAAAATTGACAAACACGCATAAGCCTAGTGTCGTGCTTATGTCATAAGGAGCTGCATAGTAATCCAGCTTTCAGCGACGACTGGTACCAAGGTGAGTCAACTTCAAGTACGATAGCGTGCCGAGCAACACGATAACGTTACGGCGAGTGCAGTCTCTACTCGTCGTTTCTTGCAAACTCTGCAATATCCACAAGCTTAAACGCGTGACCAGGTAAGTGCCCATTCATCAATCAATCCATTGTCGTTCCAGTCTCCATCCAATTGTTCCCACGTCTCTCGCTCTCTCTTTCTCTCTATCAACACGTCCAACGTCATCTCAATCATCAGTTCCGATTTAGCTCTCGACGCCTCACAGCTGAGACAGCGCCAACTGCTCGTCACCACTGAGCTTTGCCCAGGCGTTCTGCACCACGGGACCAGGCAACTGAGACTGCAACTTTGCGAGCAGCTCACGAAGCTGTGCCTTTGTCGTTTCCGATATCGTGACCACTTCTTCGTCGTCTGCAGCATCTTCGGCCGCCATCAGGTCAAACGCTAGCAACAAACAGCAAAAGTACACACACACACACACACACACATCCACAGTCACATCCACATACGCCGTAACTTGGAAGAGCACTTCGACTTCTCGAGCAATAGACAACGCGCCACGTGAACGTACCCAAAGCTGAGGCAAACACCTTTAGAATCTGAGCGAGATTAGCATAGTCAGCGCCAAGCACGTGGCGATTGCCGCTGTTCACCAAGGACACGAGACGAGCATGTACGTCCTGAGCTTCGAGCACATCGGTCCGAAGAGGGAGCCAGCTGAGCCACGTCGGCCACATATTGGCTGCATCCACTGCCCCTTCACGAGCCAGACAGATTTTGGCCACGGCACTGATCGCATTGTCACGCGCTGCACGCACTTCGTCGTCGTCTGTGTCCGTCGAGGCATTGATCAAGTGCACCATCTTCTCGAGCGCGTTTTGGCAGAACGGATCAAACGCAGCGCCGCACTTCTCGGCACTGACACCAATGCCGTACGCAGCTGCCTGAACAACAGACGGACTCGGGTCCTCGAGGCCCTGAACGAGGTGGTTCAGAAACAGCGGAAGCAGCTCCTGCGCGGAATCGCCGCAGTGCTCAATGATGTCGTCGATCATGCAGATAGCTTGGCCACGCACCATCGGCACAGTCTGCTGCTCCAGCAGCGGCGTCACGAACGACAAAAGGTGAGTCTTGAACACGGGAAAAAAGGCGTCCTTGTGGAGCTTGACCATCCAGCCAATTGAGTCGACCATCGAGCGGAAGACACCTTCTTCCAGCTCGTCGTTCTCGCTCTGTTGCAGAGCAGCTTCCGCGTCGTAGTCTTCATCTTGTTGGTTTGCCTCGTGCTGCACCATCAGGCGCTGGGCACTGTTGGACGCTACGGTCTTCAGGACTTCGACCACGCGCGAGACATGATCGAGAGGAACGCCAACCTGGAACCCCATGTCTTGACTTTCCTTGCACGCTTCGAAAACCGCAGACATGGCCTCTGCAAAAGCGCTCAAGCACTCGAGCTCGTCTTCGGTCTGCAAACTGTTTAACATGGGATCGAAAAACTGCTCGAAAAGCTGCTGCGGGAACGTCGGGGCCATGGCACCGTGGCCGAAATGGAGCGTGCCGTTGACCGCGCACTTTAGCAGCTTGGCCATGGTCAAGCTGCTCACGATGCGGATGTCCGCAACGTACTCAAAATCAAGCAGCGGGATCATCACCTGCGCGACTTCGGCCACGTAGGGGTAGAACAGTCCTTCGAGGTCAAGTGCTGACTGGTACAGCATGTTGCAGGCATTGGTCTTTTCCTCCAGAGCACTCGTGTTGATCTCCAGACGCTTCTTGCCCACGCCACGGATATCGAGCGTCATAGTGTCTTTGCCATCGACAGTCACGCCGTCCTCATCTTCATGGTCATCCGCGACGTCAAACAATTGAATGTCCGGCTGGGTCTGTGCCTGCCGAATGAGCGGCGGGATCACGTACGGCAAGTACGGGACAAAGTCTTCTTTCAAGATACTGCCGATACGCGCACACGACTGCGCCACGTACTGCACTTCTGGACCTTCCAGTTCCTCGCTCGACTGCACACGCACTAGGATTTCCATGATCTCCTTGGCGTCGTTCACGAAGCGCTCTTTGCCCACCGCCTGACCGATGAGCGCAATCGACTCCATCGACTTGCCACGGAGGAGAGCGTACTTTTTGCCGTGAGCATTCGTCAGCACTTCCTTGGCAAGCGGAATGAAAATGTCGTAGAAACGGAGGAACTCGTCCCCAATCACTTTTGCAACACTTGCAACGGCCGTGATAGCCTGTTCCTGCACTTGCCGCGGGCACGAGCGCATCATATTGAAGAGAGCTTCCAGCAGAGCCTGGCTGTAAGGCACCACGTACTTGGTCTTGCACACGTTCGTGTTGCAAAAGTTGATAATCACGCTAGCCGCCAGCGCACGCGTGCGCAGCACAAGTTGCTCGCCTTGAACCAGCGCTGTCAACGCCGGCATGATCACAGCGTGGAATCTAGCCTGGAAGTTCTTGCCCTTCTCCACTTCGCCAAAGTCTTCAGCAAGCTGTCCAATGCTGTGCAGTGCAGCATATTGCACTCGCGCGTGCTGGTCGTTCAGATACGGCAACACCATTGCCACCACATTGTCAAGTTCACGCGTCATGAGCGTCTTGGCACCTTCTCCTAGGAGACAGATCGCGTACAGACCGGCACGGCGTTTTCGCCAGTCGGCATCGCCCACAAAAGCTTTGATGACCGGGATCGCCACAGGAAGCACAGCGTTGCCCCCTAGAGCTGTACTCAGACGGTCAATAGCAGCAGCACCCGCATCGCTGATCGCATTGTCGTCGTCGTGGGCTTCAGCAAACGTCTCTGGATCGTCGAAGCTCTGCGCCCACGTTTCGTCTTCGTCGACTTCGCACATCAACTGAATGACCAGTGGCACGACGTTCGTGACAATGAACTGCGACTTGCGCACCATCCCGCCAGCGTTCTCACACAACGAGATGAGGAACTCGAGCGCAAGTTCACGCGTCTCGGATTCGAGCTCCTGCGACGAGCACACGACGATCATTGCACGGGCCACGTCGTTCAGAGCGTCACGGAAGAACTTGGGGTGCACTTCAGTAAGCTGCACGAGCACCGACAGCACTTCACGGAGTGCCACTTGATCGCCTGCTTGCACCAGCGCTTCCATAATGCGCAGCATGTGAGGCACGAGACCCGCAAACGCCATCAACTCCTGCGTATCGTCGAGCGTGAGCAAGAACGCAGACGCGGCCTTGACACTAGCAATCTGCACGTCTCCGTTACTATCATTCAGCGTCGTGGCAAACAGCGTGCGGAAGCTCGTTCGGTGTGGCGCGAGGAGGTCCCCCACGTACTCAGCCAGCTTGGCCAGCACGTCCATGGCCGTGACCCGCAGCTGGGCGTCTCCATTGGTCGTCAGCACGGACACAGCGGGCAGCAGCTCTGGCCACGTGTGCTCGTACTTGTCCGCCACCGCGGCGAGCTCCGCGATCAAATGGCCGAGTTTGCGGCGAATGTGCGCCACGGGTTCGGTCGCTACGGTCTTCAGCAGCTGCGTCTTGAGCAGCGTCCGCGTCGGCGCGTCGAGCTGCGCGTAGACGCCGGTCTTGACTTCGAGCAGTGGCCGCAGTAGCACCGACGCAAAAGCGCGCGTTTCTGGCGCAGCTGCAGCGCGCAGGAGCTGCACGAGGTGGACCACGAGTAGCTGCGGCTGGTCGGCTTTGAGCGCTTCGTAGGACGCTTCGGCGCGCGTGCGCGTGGCGGTGTCGCTGCTGAGGAGAGCGGCCACGAGCGCCGGGAAGTCCATTGGCGCGACGCGCAGAGTGCTCGAGGCGGCCTAGAGATGGCTACAAACGGGGGGCGAGCAGCTCCGCCAATCGATTACCAGCTGTTGGGTGCGACATGGCTACGGATTGCATAGCCGGGCGCGTAGGACGCTGTAAACAGCTGTGTGGATATTGTGTGCCAATGGGTACGGACGGACTCGATGGACATGTGGGTCCACGAGACGCGAGCGACTTCAACTCGACAAAAAGCGTACGCGATTCGCGTGCAACAAACACCGGAACTGCACTTGTTGCCTCCTTCTCGTACTGTGCGTTTCGCGTCGTCGTTTTTGTCGCCGGACGTGACGAAAGTGGAGCAACGCGAGTTGGTTTGGCATTGAAGTTCGACTGCCTCTGCCACTTGTTCGCGTTCTGCAATGTCGGCCGCGTCGCTCAAAGCACTGGACCTGGTGACGAAAGTGTTTCGGTAGCGTCTTGACAAGTTGTCCATCGCTGCAATGTTTCTCGTTGCTCGGAGAGAGAGAAAGCGATATCGCTGTTGTGCACGGGATCCACATTGTCGATCCGGCCTTACGTGGTATCTAAATCTCCCGTTGTCCTTCCAGCCGCCTTTGCAGTATCTTCGTGCGACATCAGCTGCACTGAAGATGAGCATCAAGTAGACCAGACAGCTGCCATTTATTTGTCGTTGAAAGACATCTTCGCCGAGTCATTGTACGAGAAGGTATGAACTTGGCCGCATTCTTCTTGGTGCGTTGTTCCGAACACGTGCTCTGCACAACGAACAGCGCCTCTAGGCGGACTTGGTCGCTGTCTGCAAGGACGAGGCCATACTGCTCTCGGCCACAAGTTCGTGTTGCATCTCCGCACTCTTCAGTCCGAGCTCTGAAGACAACTCGGTATTACCTGACTGGTCACTCCATCGACGCCATTGACCTCACTGCACTGTACACGCCTGTGGAGGAGAGCGTGTGTGTCTCGCGGCGTCATACAGCCGAAGCAGGTACTTCTTATGCGCATCTAACAAGCCAAGAAGATGTCTTTCGGTGAAGTGACTCGACAAGTCATCAATGACGCGCTGTCAATTCTTCCGTCGCGTGCATGACTGCCACACGTCTTACGAGGACGTAATGATCCCTCGCCGTCTCAGTTGCTTGTCCACGAGGGCGTTCTCGATGCAGTCTTGATGGGCTTGCATCTTTTGAGCTGCAGTCACGATGAGAAAGTTCGTGACAGCACGCACGGTGTCGGCGCCGTGAAGGGCCTCAGCCTCTGGTTCCAGTGAGATGAGCGAGACACACTGCAACTGCGAGATCTCGTGTTCCGGTGTCGATGCCGGCGAGCGCTTCGTCATGGCGTAGCCCCGAAGATGGTAAGTAAGACCACGCAGCATCTTGTGCTTAATCTCGGCGGGCTTTGCCACCGACACCCAGATGATAATGTCTCGACCGGGCTCCATGTAGCGGCGAACGAGCTGTTGCGCCTTTATATCTGCTCGAGCGTTCTTGGAGTGCATCTCTTTTGTAAACTCTTCCATTATCGTGTACGGGTCCTCAAGGCTCTGGTGACAGGAACAGCAGTGCAGACACAGATACTCACGTTACAAGCAAAATCTCAAAACACCCTCAACGATAGCACCTCTTCTTCCCACCTTTGCTGTCTTCTCGTAGATATTGCCGTTGCCCAAGTGTTTCTCCCCTCCCTTAAAGTGGTCCCAAGTAGCTTCTGCCACAGCGCGCAGCCCGAAGGGCAGTACCTTGTTTGAGAACGCTTCGAGGTATTTGCCCTTAACATCGTCGCGAAGGTGTACGTCGCTCGGAGTCAGCACCATGTTCGCCAGACCGTTGGAAGCAAACACGGCATCCATCTCGCGACGTGCCGTCTCAAGGTGACGAAACAAAAGCGAAAAGTTGCCTGCGTCATCGCACGGAGAGCTTAGCATGCGGCCGAACGGTTGCTTCGGGGCGTTCAAGTCCATGAAAGAAGAGCACTCGCTCATCTGCAACCAGAGCGTAGCATAGTGTGCGACAAGTTAGTGTCGACGATCCCCTCATAGCTTCCAGAGGTTACTACAGTCTAATAAGTACATACCAAGTGACCCGCGCGCTTTTGCACCAAGCTTTGCATCCACTGCGCCGTCTCTTGCTGCTGTTGCACGGCCAGTCTCAAACGGGCGTTTTCACGCTCGCTCCCTTTGCGTCGCCGGTGCTGTCGGGCCGAAACGTCACCCCACACTCTCGGCATCTCTTGCACGGCCTTCATAGCGCCTGTACGTTCACGTGGCGACCCCGCAGCTACTTTTTGTCGACACGATCGACTCTGCAGAACCTGCAGCTCGAGCTGAAGCTTCTCGACGCTCTCGTGAAGATACGAAAGCTCGAGTCGACTGTCTCGCCACTGGACGTTCGGACTGATCCCCGTGTCCCGCAACAGCTTCTTCAGCTCCTGCATCTCTGTTGTCGTCCGTCGTCGTGTCCTCTTTTTCTCTTCGCGATGCGCTCCGTCTCCCCCACACGTCATTGCTGGCGCGTAGCCATGCGACGCCCCACATGCCGTCGTGAGCCCAATGGGTACGCACGAATCAGTGCCGCTGGATCCCATCGCCTCTGTGCCTTCACGTGGCGACATAGCCCTCGTCTTTAACGCAACCACTGCGTTGCCCACGTCCTCTTCGCCCTCGAGCTCCCACTCGTTTACGAACGACAGCGTCACTTGGAAAGCGCGATCGTCGTCTGCTCCTACAGTGAGTACCATTTGGTGCTGTGTCGCCACGCAGGAGACCGTCCAGAGCTTCAGTTAGTCAGTCAGTCAGTCAGCCAGTCAGCCAAGGTTAATTAGTCAGTTAGTTCGTTAGTCAGTCAGTCAGTCAGTCAGTCTGTCTGTCTGTCTGTCTGTCTGTCTGTCTGTCTGTCAGTCTGTCTGTCTGTCTGTCTGTCTGTCTGTCTGTCTGTCTGTCTGTCTGTGAGTCAGTTGACTGTCCGATGGAGTGCGTGCGTATCGTTGCAACTCTATCTATGGCTATGAGGCGCAATGCGTTTTGTGTTCCCAAAACAATAACAAACGGAGCGGTTTTATGCGCTTAAGAGCTCATCTGCTCGGCGATATTCGTTTGGGTCCAACTCATTGGCGACCGACCGCTCGTTTCGCGTCTGCGTTGAGTACGTTTTGGTTGTGATTACGACTGACGAGTGAGTGGGACGAAAAACGGACTTCACGCTCGACACGCACTGCAGACGTGACGCTGTTGGCGAAATGTCCGCATTTCGGCAACGAGGAGAGGGAGACAGAAAGCTGTTCATCGGTGCTGTAACTTTCGATGAGGCGGACTCGGTTTTGTCGCGCAGTTACTAAGGCGGCACTGGGCAGCTCCATGCTCAGCTGCTACGTTCGCTGTGATCGCGATGGCTTTCTGCGAGTGGCAAGAAGATCAAGAGCCAAGACCTCACTAGGTCACCTCTTCGATTCAGTTGATGCGTGCAACAGCTCCGTGTTGCATTCTCACGACGCTTGACGCGGTCTGCGATGCCTTATCAAGGACGATCGGCATCGTACAAACAGCTTTTGAACGTCTCCACCAAGGCCTTTGCGGTCTCGAAAGGTCAGTAGTGAACAACGTAGTGGATCTTTCACCTGGACGCTGGTGCGCTGCAGAGGGAGGTGAACAAATTCAGCCGTGTATACCATCCACGAGCTGAACGAGGCACAGGTCATCGTATCGCAAGTGGTGCGTTCAGGAAGTCGCTTAGGGCAAAGGCCACAGAGTACGCAGTCATCGTCACTCCATGTGCCGGTGGGTGTCAACCTTCGTCAAAAAAAGACCATGTCTGTTCCGAGCTTGTCATCGCAACTGCAGGTAGTCAATCCTATACTACCTGCTTCCTGTCAAGATCATTTGTTCATCTGGCACTTAACAATGCAGACAATCCACACGCTGTCGCACCTCAAGCTCACTTTTGACGTCGCACCATTTTTACCGCATCCCATCGATCTCGCTCATGCTCATTGTCCGTGCTCGAGCAGTTCTCTTGAACCAACTGTTGCTCTTCTTTCATCGTGGTGAAACATGAGAGGCAGTATCGTTAGTGCATAACAACACGTTCATCCACAACGTATGTTACTGGCTCATCGACCAAATAGGAGGAATGACACACGAAAGTTGTCGCAGTTGTGCATGAGTTACAAATTGCTTCATGTCACGTAAACTTTTCATCGATAGTGGCCTGAGACCTCGGACGCGTGGGTAAGAACATGATTGCGGAAAAACGTCGATGTTTTGGGACCGTGCAGTTAACTGTCTGGCATATCACAGCCAGAAAGAAAAAGCACGTTCCAAGGTGACAGAAGGTCGCAAGCAGACTTGCTGCATCCGACGTTGTTCTTTACTCGTATGGTATCCTATTGCTCGTTTTACGACTCGCAGGAAGCACTTTCTCCTATCACACATCTCATTCTACTAGCGTCGCAGTCACACAAGTAGGGACCACAATAGATGCAAATGGGATGAGCCAGTCGTTACATGGCATTGACGGTCGTAAACGCCGATGCAGATATTGTCGTGACATGGCATTGACGGTCGTAAACGCCGATGCAGATATTGTCGTGACATATAGTAGCTTCTGCGAATTGGTTGACACAGGCTAGTTCATCAACGTCAAAGCGTTGAATGAACGATAGACGCGCGCTACGGGCGGTGAGCAGATAGCAACTGTTCATGTTTGTATTCCAATATTGTCAATCCAGAATTACACAGACTTAGGTTGTTGTGATACTGATAGTAAGTAGTTCTCTTTTACCGTCAACTAACGTGTTTGTCCGATGTCGAGATTCCTCTGCGCTTTTGTGTACGTAAGGTTTCGAGGCACTTGACTCCATAGTCGTCGGTGGAGACTATACTACACTGCTTGCAATATACTTTAGCTCGTAGTGCGCCCGAGAAAGTGGATGTATAATTGATAGTTATGCTAGACGTCATTGTCCTGCCACGCTCATGCTTGTACGTTGCCTACGACTATCTAGTGCACGCAACCAACCGTCGCCTCGGCCACAACCAGTCGCTGCACTCTAACATGAATTGCACTCCACTGTCGCTACGTTTCAACAGTTGCGCCATTTCTACAGTCTATACGTTATGCCCCGTTAGAGGAAGGTTTTGGACGCATGTAAGAAGTTTGTCGGTGATAATACTGGTGATCAAGTAAACAAAAGAAATACGTATCGAATGAACGACCCGGATAAACAGAAAAAAATTCGTCCTGTCAAACAACACAGAAGATGTTTTCATCGTGGTGTAGTGACCCATGCCATCGTAAATTGCCCGAACGGAGCCTTTAAAGAAAATGCGGATCAAAATATACGCTGGTTATACTTGTATGCAAGGATAATTTGGGGAAAACCTGGATTCGAAGCGGTGGCAACAGCAGTCATTTGCTCATCAATTTTGATTATGTTGATTATTGTAAGAACATGTCTGCAGCCGGATGGACAGCCCTTTGCCATACCAAATGGGAGAGAGAGTGCCACGCCAATTGTGACAGCGATGGGACATCGTATCATCTTCTTGGACGCTAATGTAGATCGATTGAGTTCTGGAGCATAACCTATTTTATATGGAGTAGAAACATGGAGGGATATGCGTTGCGAGGCGTGATACAAAGCGTTTATTGACGACCAATGGTTGAAAGATGGGTACGATTTCGAAATGATCAGAATTTGCCAATTGTGTATGAAACAATCGATCATAATTTAGCTTTTGTGACATATTCATTACGGCTTATGGTGTATACAAAACAAAAAGTTGAGAAAAGCTCCGAGACGATATACATCCGACACTAGTTCCTCATTAAATTCTCATTAGGTGCTCGAAAACCTTAGTAACGATGCCATTGACAGACTGATAAGGGTCTGAGTCAGGAGTCAGACTGGCTGATCACAGACGCCAAGGTTATTAATGATAGGTCCGAGGACTGCAGCTAAACACGTGTCCGTATAAGAACGGCTCGGGTAAGCAGCCACCGATTTATTGGAACAGTGGCGTTGTGTGCTCGAGCAAAACAGTCCAATGAAATTGAAAGGTTCGCTTACAATTCATCACACGGCGAATGATACTGACTACAAAAGCAATCATGTAAGATTTTTTTAATATCCAAAGACCGGGTAGCAACGATATGCACAAACATTTTCTGATTACATTTGAAAATCTTTCGATTGAAGGAACCAAATACTATTTGCCAAGTCAGTTTAGGGATACAAAAATACAACAAGCAATATACAGGGGGTAATTAGACAGCACACCGCGCGAATACAAGTGAGTTGTCGTCAATATGATACGAAAGTTTGCACTGTAATGAATATGGAAAATGCTCGATAACGGCGTGTGGTTGATCTTGAACATTTTGGGTTGATACAATTCTGATTAAATTATTACAATCTGTTGCAATCAGATAATTTATATTGTTTAGACTTTGACTTTTTTGTATTAGCAATATTTCATAAAAATTAAAGTATAATTTTCTGAATAAATTTTTTGAACGCGCAGTCCTGCTGACTAAATGGTCGCCCACAAAACGGAAGTCATATTATAGTCCCATCACAAAATTTCCGCTTAATATTTGCCTTGGTGAATCCGTGAGTTTTAGCTCTCCGTGGGCGGTCTTCAATCCCCTAGAACAAAGGTCATTGCGCAGAGGGACAACGTTTCGTTATTGCCAGTATTATAGTGCTACAAAGGGATGTTATTGCTTCCAATGGATTGATTCTGCTGTAACCAAGCAACACGTTAAGTACAAAATAAACTCCACCGTCGAATTGAACAAGCTCATATTCATAACTGTGTTAAGAAGAGCATGCTGCGATAAGTGACCCATAAGCAAAATGTAGACAAAGATACGATTGAGTTCGCGAAAGGCCGGTAACACGCTCAACAAATGCACTGAATATCTTTTTTGTAGCAAACGAGTTGGTTATAGAAATCGCCAACTCCGCGCATGATGATGCTCACATAAACATGCATAAACGCTTTTCGCAGGACGCAACATACCCTGCGGGAACCAATTGTGCAAGAAGAAGTAAAAGCATTTTTAAAAAAGTTAGGTCTGGAACGTAGTAAGCTTACCGGTGGTCTCTCACAGTTCGCATTTCATATAGGTGCATAGATAGAGAAGGTATGCAACAATGACATTTAGTACTGCAAAATCAGGTTAGTACCCCATATAAAGGTACAGAAGTATCTTTGTGAGCAGAAGATCAAGGTGATTTTATCATTTTCTTATCGAGTGTCACGCTCATACTTTCTCTGGATAGAAAATGGCAGGTGACAGGAAAGCACCGAGGCGTACCGAAAGTATACGTGAAAGCTGAATCAGAAGCTGACTAGACATTTTTTGTGCGTATATGTCAAGCAATGGAGACAAAACGTGAAGTGTACGAAAGTGTTGGTAGAAAAAACTGCAATTGAGCTCGCTATGGCTTTGCGTGAGGCAAAATCTGAAACGAAGAAGGCTATAAATTTGCTGAGTATATTGCTACACAAATACTCGAGACCAAATTTTACACTTTGCGATGTGTCTGTCATTGAGAATGCAGGGCAGTCGAATCATTAGGTTTGGGAGGGTAGATTGATGACCGTCATTGAGAATGCAGGGCAGTCGAATCATTAGGTTTGGGAGGGTAGATTGATGACCGTCCTTGTGACAGCGACCAAAGCACATCTAGTGGATAATTTTGTAAGGTGGTATATACAAAGTCTATCGCCACGG